CCCCCCCCCCCCCCCGGAGATGTAGAACTTTTTAAAATATAATTTATTTATGTTTTGAAAGTAATCTCTATACCCAACGGGAGGCTCAAACTCATGACCCCAAGATCAAGAGTTGCACGCTCTGAACCATCCAGGCACCGCTAGAATGCTGTGATGGGCTTTGGCACTGAGAAGATGTCTCCAGATTGTCAGGGTGGGGGAGGGGCAGGCAGAAGACCTGGCCATGAGTTCCTTACTTAACGCAGTTCCTGTTCTTACAGCTGAAGCAGGAGGGAAACAGAGCCCTCTGGTTTCTGAAGCAGTGCTTGGCTCTCTTCAAGAGCCCGCAGGCCCCCATTCGCCAGACAGCTGTACGATTTGCAGGTACCACTTTCCGTGTCCTTGTCCTAGTTCCTTCAAACAGCCTGAGGACCTTTCCCGGTGGAACAGGCCAGGTCCTGGCAGGCCAGGCCAGACCAGCAAAGCTCCCAAGGGGCGGGACGTCAGGGTGTGGGTGCTGCTCTGTTACAAAACTCAGAGACTGGTGAGGACTGCTTCGTGTCACCCCAAGGACAGGCGTCTTTAGTGCAGAGGGATACCCTCCCCCTGCCCCAGCTCAGTTCGCTGATGACAGAAGAAGGGGAAATAATTTCTATTTGCGGAAAAAGTCCAGGCAAGGCCAGTTAGGGGGGAGGGAAATATAGACCAAAGGAAGTGTGCGTTTTGGGAAGGGACAAAAGAGCAGGTGCAGCCAGGGTCCTGTGGGTCTTTGTGGGGCCCCTGAGGTGCTGTGTGTGCCCCTGTAGGCCAGATCATCCAAACCCTGGGTGCGGAAGAGGCCAATGAAATTGAGGAAGTATATACAGGTGAGTAGCAACCCGCTTGCTATTTCTTGCATCTTTTAAGGGTAGTGGTGTTGGTGGGGAAGTCTCAGAAATGAGGGAGAATGGGCAGATAGTTCATGAAAAGGATCACTGGAAAGAATGGAGAGGTAGGCTCATCTTTAAAAAAATTTTTTTAGATGCTTATTCATTTTTGAGAGAGAGAAAGAGACAGAGCCTGAGAGGGGGAGGGGCAGAGAGAGGGAGACACAGAATCCAAAGCAGGCTCCAGGCTCTGAGCTGTCAGCACGGAGCCCGATGTGGGGCTTGAACTCACGAACCCACAAACCATGAGATCATGACCTGAGCTGAAGCCAGACGCTTAACCAACTGAAACCACCCAGGCGCCCCTGAGGTAGGTTCATCTTAAAGGCGTTTAGCTTTGGGGCATTGGCCAGAGTCGTCCTCCTCTTCATGTCCACTCACTGACCCGCACCTGCATTGAACTCCAGGCCATTCATCAGCCAGGACAGTTCCTTGAACTCTTTCATTTCTTCTTCTTCTTCTTCTTCTTCTTCTTCTTCTTCTTCTTCTCCTTCTCCTTCTCCTTCTCCTTCTTCTTTATGTTTATTTATTTTGAGAGAGAGAGACAGGCAAGCAGGGAGGAAGGGCAGAGAGAGGGGGAGAGAGAGAATCCCAAGCAGGCTCCACGCTGTCAGTGCAGAACCTAACTCAGGACCCGATCATGACCTGAACTGAAATCAAGAGCTGGACGCTTGACCGACTGAGCCACCCAGGCGCCCCAGTTCCTTCAACTCTTGATAAAAGGAGCCATCATTGGATGATGATGATTTTCTCACTTGGGGGACGTAGGGGTTTCCAGCCCCTCCCTTGTGGAGCCCCCAGGACCGCTCCAGTTATGGTCCACGTATTCTCCACCCATCCCTCTGAGACACAACCCCCCACCCCCACCCCATGCTCTTCTCTTTTCCTCTGCCTTGTTTCTCTCGAGTCCCATATCTCATCCACCGCTGGGTTCCCTGGTACTGCCCGAAGTCCTTTGAAGTCAGAGGACTTCACTCAGAGGTACTCTCTGGAAAAGAGGACAGCACAGCTGGGCAGGAGGGGGTGGCGGAGGGGGCCAAATAGGTTGGTTGTGGATGCAGGACAAGAAGTGGCCGGCTCCCTGAGCCCGGGGCGGGCATGGCATCCTGCTTGTGACTGAGCAGTGTGGACTCCCTCCCAGCGGGAATTCTTGGATTTTAAAAGCTGCCGGTTCCCATCCCCCTGTGCTGCCCCTCTCTGCACAGCCGTCCTGGTGAGCCCACCGGCAGGGTCCAGACCTTGTGTCCAGCCCCACGGCATTACTTTTTCCAAGCACCTTAGCGGTCTCTGTGTTACAGCCCTAAAGTACATGCGGGAAGACCCCGACTCCATGGTCAGCTGCCTCGCCGCTCAGACCCTCTACATCCTGGAAGCCAAGGAGAAGCTGCTGGTCAACCCCCCTACCTCTTGCTTCTGCAGCAGGAGGCCACGAAAGACCTACTCCTGAGCCTGTGTCCTTGGGTCCTGGCCAGGGCGATCGAGACTGTGACAACGGTGACAGTGGGGCCAGGCTCCTGAGCCCTGTCCTAGAAGTGGGTATGTGTCCCTGCAGGACCTCTGTAATAAAAGGAAGACGCATGAATTTCTGTGGAGTGTTTCCTGGCCTTTCCAGATGGTTCTCTGGGGGCAGAGCCCTTCATTGTGAGCTGTCTCCTCTGCCTGAACACCTGGTGCAGGCTGGCCTCTCCCAGCCCCGCCCCTCCTGCCCCTCTTCCACGTAGCCCGGCGATCGGAGGCCGGAGCGTGGGACGTTCCCGTAACATCAGCCTGAACCACAAAGTGGGAGGAAAGTGATACTGGGACACGTGAGGTATTCTAGGCTCCGGCTGCACCGGGCAGGGTTCCCGGCGGCAGGCCACAGGGTCCGCTCTGGCAGGTTTAAGCAGGGCAGTGATTTATTAAAGGGCATTAGTCAGCTCATAAAACATCCCCGGAGATCAGAGAGTTTGGAGACTACCCATCAGGAACAGGGCGGCTCCATAAAAACACCAGTGGGGCTGCCCCCTTGCGCAGCCCAAACCTCAGCCCAGGTGGCAACACTCAGGACCGGCTCTCAGCAGCTCCGCCACCATTTGTGCAAAGAGCCGGATGTTTCCTCCTCCCGCTCCCAGGGCTGAACTGGGTGAGCGCGATCTCCCGGGGCTCCTGTTAGAATCCGTCTTAACCCAGCGCCGTCTCACAGTCCCTGGAGTTTATCTTTAGGTTTACACAGGGTCATTGGATGCTCCCATGCCACCTCCAACCCCCCCATTGCCCACTCCCACCTCTGAGCCAGGCATCACCTGTTGCGCCTGACCTTCAGTCAGCCGGGTCCCAAAGCTCTGGGCACAAGGACAGTAACCCAATGTCCTAAAATGTGGGCTCCCCCTTGGCCATACCTGCTCTGACTCGAAAGGAGCTCGGGCCACAGTGAAGCAGATTCCTAGGCTCTCGTCCTGCAGTGCTCAGCTACTGTCACCTGCATCCAAGCCCCCAGGAACATGTGGCATCCTGCCCTCGTTCACCCTCTCCACCCCGACGGGCCTCCTTCTCAGTGGTGGCCATGCTCCTCATAGCATTCTCTCAGCCCCGGTGCAGCCGCTGGAGTCGCTTGGGTCTGCTTGGAAACAAACCTCAGAGGGAGGCAGCATTAAAGCCCACACAAAGGTCTGTGTTGGCCGGAGGGCTCTTCTCACGTACTACCCTTGGCCTGGTCTCTGGTTCTCACATCAGCAGCCGCCGGCTGATGCTGGGGGCCTTATCAGCTGCACCTTTTATAGACGGAGGTGAGCAGAGAATAGCACAAGACAGTGGTACACTCACGTTCCCTTCCCTGACCTCCGAAGCACAATCGGGTCAAGTGTGTCTGTACGGGACCCACTTCAGAGACTGTTCTGATGCCCCCCCTCCCCAAGTCACCCCCTCACGTTGGTCAAGCCAAGTTAACAGGCACGATGGGAAGAGACCACATGGGGGAAGTAATAGAAGTCCATCAGGCCATCTCTGTCCTGGTAGGATTGGGGCCAACTCTGTTGGCTTCTCTGGGCCTCCGTCCCTCTCATCTGTAAATCGAGAGCGTTGGAAAAAACCCTCTTTGATGATGCCACCAGGCGTGACAATGGATGGCTCCTATCAAATTCTGAGAAGTACTATTACATCCTAAATAGCATTTCTTTGCTTCAGACTCTCCTTTCCAAATTTTCTATAATAAGCAGATATTACTGTTACAGTTTGGCAGGGGAGGGAACCAAATCCCACATTAAAAGAATAAAAGAACAATGTCCCTTCACCTGGTGTTCCTGCCTCCCTACCCCTAAGTGCTTTGGCATCTTCAAGACACAGGGTGACCTGAGTTTGAAAAAACCACCTTTGGAGGCAAAGCCTCTGCAGGGTGAGGGGAGCGGCACAGTCACAAGGTAGAACCAGTTGGAGTCTGTTCCAGGGCCCTGCTCCTGACAAGTTCAGCAGCTCCTGGGCCTCCATTTTCTGGTTTCACCCACACCCCCCAGGCTTGCAGCTGGCCACACCCAATCGTCACCTCCCACAGTCAACAGTGGGCTCTGTCCCATAGGGTGGGATCTTCTGTAAAAGAAGGGCCTGTGGGGAGCAAGGGTGGGACAAGACCAGGTGGGAGGGTGGGGCAGGGAGGGTGGCATGGGGAAGGTTTGGTCAGCCGGCCAAAAACAACCATCCTTAGAAGCTACCCTTGCTTCCCAGGGTGGCCAGGCTCCTGTGCCTGCTGGACGGCCTTGGGAAATCAGGGCAACTCTGCCCACCTGGGTCCCCCTCTGTGGTTCGGGGTCCCCTTTTGCTTGCCAAGACCCTTCTGAGGACCAGGAGCCTCTTGGGTGGATCTCCACCCCCCCTGCCCCCCCTCAGGGAGCCTCCCACCTCCAATCCACGATAACTTCTGCCTCCCACGGACCCACAGAACTCACCGGCTGGATCACCTGTCAACAGCCATAGGTCTAGATAAGCAGCACGGACTGTGTAGGTTGACAGGACAAACTCGGTTTTATATTCGGAAAACACAGCAGAGAGAGACCCTATTGTCTTCACAATGCAAGAATCAGAAAGTAAAGCTTTCAGAATAGTCTTGGCTGGTGACGAAGATGCAGATCGTCCCCCAGAGGCCACCATGCCCAGGCGATGGGCCAGAATCTCCAGGAGTTGGTGGCACGATCTGTGGTTATCGAAAGGGAAGGTGACCGTTAAGCAAAGGAAAACTTCGGGGAAGGTATTTCATGACACTCCATAACTCAGCGCTCCCAAATATGCCACTTCTGCCCTTCCTTCGTTCACTGGCTCACCCACTCGTTCAAGGCCTGTTTGGCATCTGTCGCCACGAGGCACTGACAGGGAATATGGAAGTAACCAGAATAAAATCATTAGCCTCAAACAGAAAAGAGGGTGAGTTTTATGGTGTGGGAATTACATCTCAATAAAACTTGCATTAAAGATATTTTCTTGAGAACTGAGCCTGGCAAACTGGATAATTGCACACAGAGCGAACATAGGGCCACCGGTGCCATATAATTTTAGCGAGTGAAGCACAATCTAAAATTATATGGGGGCCCTGGGCTCCTGAAAATCAGTGGTAACGGGCGAATACATGGAGTTATAAGCACGCGAGTATCTCGGGTGCACAGCAGCGACCCTGCATCTCCCGGGGGGAAGAGCCCATCACAGGTTTGCTTGGCATCTTCTCACACTTCTTTTTATGTTGAAAATAATGAGGCTAATAGGCAGAGGCAGGGATTTTAGGGCCTTAGGAAAAAAAGGGAATATTAGTTTTTAAAAATCGAAAAGCACTGATCTAGAAACAAAAATCAAGACCACTGTGGAGCTGTTTTCTTATACGAGCTTTGAATATTTGTCTTCCCTTCGTAAGTGGCGAGGGAAGGAAAGATGTCTTGTAGGTGTCACGCACGGCAGCCTCCAGGCTCTCGGAAAGGCACTCGATGCGTGCGTGAAAGGAAAACGGGTGCTGTGCTCGGGAAGGTCTGGGTTCCAATCCTGGCGCTGTCTTTCCTAGCTCAGATCCTGGACAAGTCACTTCCTCTCGGAGACTTTCCCATTTCGGAAAATGAGAACACTACCTGTCACCCAGGGGAGCGAAGATCTAAGGAAAAATGCCCGAAATAGTGCCTGGAGTACAGCGGGTGCTCATTAAATGCTGGTGCCCCCTTTGCAGCTAATGTACCCATCCCAGGAGACAACATACGGAGTCTGCAGGCAATGCAACACTCTCAACACCGTTTTTTAATTAAGCCCCACACTCACAGCCCGGGAATTCTCGCCCAGAGGCCTGCCCCACCTGCCTAGCACCGACCTCCCACCCCAGAGAAGGGCCGCCAGCTAAAAGCGGGCAGTTCTCGGGGGCCACATCACGACAGATGATGGTCATTTGGGTTTTATTGAGGACAACTTCTTTGAACACACACATCCAGTCTGGGAACAGAAATGTACAGCATGAGGCTTAAATAACTTTCATACACTATGTACAGTCGTCGGCAGAGGTACAAAACATATATACATCTTGTGCTAGCCACATGGCGAGGAGGGCCGGAGCCAAATGAAACCCTGCAGCCTGGGCAGGGGGTGATCACTAGAAAAGAGCTGGTGGGCAGGGCAGGGCCCTGATTCACTTCAGGGGTCTTCTCTGACCCTTGGCTCTTCTTGGAGTCGTTCCCACTTCCCTGCAAAGCTCTCGAGACAAGGGTTCAAAAAATTGGACTGGGGTACGGTAAGGGTTGGGAGCTCATCTGAGTGCCGGGGATGGGTAGGGGGTGGGGGATAGAACAAAGATGCCACAGAAAACAGAACTTTCCTTGTAGACTCTGTCCTCGCACATAGGAGGGCAGTGAGGGATCTGGGAGCCAGGAGAGGAAGGCCAGGCCCAGGGAGGCCTGTGGGGCCAGTGGCCAAGCCCTGGCTCCTGAGGCCGGGCCAGGAGGCTGTGCTAAGCTAAGAGAGCAGTAAGCAGTTTCCTGTTTGGGATGGCAAGCGGACAGATGCCACAGATTTGGGCCACTTGGCGGGAAGAGACTCACCGCTCTTGCAGGGCAGGCCCTGTCCAGACAAACACGATGGTGAACACATTGGGCACAGGCAGGCGCTGAAGAGGCCAGGGGCTGTGCCTGCACCCCGCCCAGGCTGCGTCCGAGGATGCCCCCAAGAGTCGGCATTGTCCGCGTGATGGAAGAGAGCAGGGCGTTTCTGACTTCACGGCAGCGGCCTGCCTGCGTCTCCACCACACTGGGTGGCGTGAGAAAGTCCCAGCAACAGTCTTCCCTACGGTGGTTTTGTGCTCTAAAGCTGCCCTCTGCCCAAGCGACACCGCCCCAGGCGGGCAGCAGGGCCAGACAACCAAGGGTTGTCCTCGGTTGATGCTGTCGTGATGGTGGGTGGGCACGGAGACCACTCCCAGATGCACACGTGTCCCCTCCCAAGGGGCTGAAGGTGGCGCCGTGACCACGTCAAAGGCTTGGGTGCGCCTTTCCTCTTCCTTGGCAATCTCCAAGGGCAGCTGCAGGGGCTCCCCTGGGGAATTCTGGCTGTCGTGGACGAATCGGCCACTCAGATGAAAGCAAACACCGAACTGGTTAATACTGAGAACAGAGCCCGGCGCAGGACTGTGCGGAGAAGGCCCACAGGCGGTCAGCTTCAAAAGCATTCGAGGGGGCTCGGCCTACATGACAGGCACTGTGGCTCTGGGCTCCTTAGGCTCAATAGGGCTGGCACCCAGTCCGGGCTCAGACGTTTAAAGATCTGGGGCGTGGGGTCGAGTGAGGGAGCTACGCATTCTGATGTGGCTGGGCTGGCGTTGGCCCAGACTCAGGGCTGCAGATAGGCAAAGAAAAGTAAGAAGCAGTATGATGAGCCCAGAGTCAGGACAAGCCATGGGCCGAGGCCTGGTCTGAGTGAGGGCAGGCCCCTCCAGACACAGACATACCCAGTCTACCCGTGGACAGAACCAAGCTGGGGTGAGCCTCCCGGACTCGGGTCTGCCCAGGCCACCTGCCACAAGCCTTGCTATTGTGCTCAAATCACAACCGTTTTGTGCTTCCAACCTTTCGGATGTTGGGGGCCTGCCCCCTAACTACGTACCTTGGACATCCCTGAAGGAGTAAGCAGAGACTCCAATGCTCTTGGAGCACAGCTTTTGGAAGGGCTCAGGGCTCCCGGGGGACTTCAAGTTTCGAATCAGTGATACTCGCCAGGACAGCAGAGCCAGCCCGCCATGAGGTAGCTGAGCCATCAGAAACAGCAGGAAACGGGCAACGACGCTGAGCACCTCTCGCAGGCCGTAAGGTCGTATCTGGCGCAAGAACGGGCCTTGCAGCTACAGTACAGTCGCCCCAGGCTGGGGCCTCCCTGGCCCATGGGGACAGTGCAGTCTTTTGTGTTTCTACAGTTTGTAAACAGTCATGCAGACAGATTCTTTCTTACAGGTTGCAAGGTTGAAGCTTTCAGATCGGGTGGAGAGAGGGTTGGGGAGGGGGAGAGGTGCTTACTTCCAAGTGGCTGAGGGAGCTGCCGGGCACCCCCGTGACGACTGGAGGAGGAGGGATTTCCGGCCATTGAAGACAGACTGTCCCCGGCTCCTCCGGGAGGCCAGTACTCAAGGGTATGTGCTTCAGCTGACCCAGACTCCACCAGCGTGTCCAGCAGGGGCCACTAACAGCAGGACAGCCTTCTTAGTCCTGGGGGCAGCTCTGAACAGGGCAGAGGCTGGGCTGGGGGCTCAGGCCCCCGCAGGTGTTTTTCCCTTTCACAGCTAAGACCGCCTCCTCTGCCCAGTGCGCCGGCACGCTCCCATGCCGGGGACCACACAGAGAGGGCTCCGATCCCCTGGGCAAATAGGGAGAGGCACAGAGGACAAACACAGAGCTACCTCTGGAAAGTCTAAAAGTCACTGCATATCTCAGAACAGAGTTGGGGCTCCTGGCCCCCTCACTGAGGACAGGAAGCACAAGACCAGTTAAGCATTGGAAAAACACTGTGGACGGGTTGGGGCCCAGGAATGGAGGGATGTCCTGCGACTCCTTCCAAGGCCCAGTCCTGTAAATTCAGAACTGCCCCAACAGGGGGCGCGGGAACACGGATTTAACCACACCCTTGGAGCCTTGACTCCACAGCCCCAAGGCAAAAAGAAACTAGGAATTCCCCTCTTTGCTGCTAATCTAAAGGGGAGGACCTCTTGCCCCATGCCAGCTTTAAGGCTTGAAAATGTCTCTCTTGAATAACCAGAGAGAAAGAGGCTGGAAGGACTTCCTGCCCAGTCGGGGTGAAAATACAGGTGAGCTGGGGAAGGGGCTGGGCCATCCTCACCATCCAAGCCACTTCCTGGTAGACACAATCCTCTGAGCTGCTTCCTGCGTGGCCCACACGGGACATTGGGAACGGGGGACCCCTGGCCCTGGGCTGTAGGGTGGAGCTCCCCCGCCTTTGGGGGGCAGCGGGCATGAGACCCCGCGAGTGAAAAGACACATGTGGTGCCGCGGGCATGGCTGGTGTAAGGCTGCCCAGCATGGGTGCCAGGCCCCGGGGTGGAGGAAGGCACTGAAGCATCAGGCGGCCTAGAGGTCAGGGGTGCACTAGAATGGTCCCTGGGGGCAATGTTGGGGACAGGCCCGAGCTGCAACGCAAACAGAGGAGGTGGTCCTGGAGGGGCTGGTAGGGCGGATTCCCTTTGGGAGTCCCGACCCCCAAGAGCAGAGGGAAAGAACATGTGGGGAGAAACTTCAAGTCAGTTTCCAGGAGGCAACAGCAAAAAATAAAAATAAAAATAAAATAAATTAAATAGCTGAAGTATTTCTGACTATCTCCCCAAAGGAATTTTTTCTAGCAGCTCTAACCTTGGCCCCGTCGGAAAGGGACCCCGAGGAATTGCTGGGGTCATCTGGGAATGGCTGTTGGTGGCCAAGGGGCTAAGGGTCAGCCGCAGGGCCCAGCTGCCTCCACCTGGTTTCCATGGTTACCTGAGGACTATCATTTTGGGCTCAGAGGCAGGTGCGGTGGCTCCAGAGGCTGCATTAGGGGAGGTAGGGGGAGGCCTGTTCATCGGAGGGGGCGCAGCAGGGGCTGGAGACGCTTCACCTCCCCTACGGGGCCCCACCACTGGGCCAGAGGCTTGGGGAAGGGCATGGCCAGCTCAGCAGGAGAAAATGTGGCCAGAGGGAGGGCAAGGGGAGCCTGAGGGGCTGCAGGGAGAGAATTGAGAGGGAAAATGCCCTTTGGCTTCACAGCTTAAATTCCCCCCCAACCTCCCTCTCTCCCCAAGAGGCAGGGGCTGGGGGAATAGTATCCCATAGGAAGGTCAAGGGAGGAGAAGGATAACAGGAGAGGGGCAACACCCGATGCCCACACCCTCTGTCCCTAGGGCAGTTGGCCCCGTCAGGCCACAGCTTCCCTTCTGTGCTGTCCAGGCTGCCGGGGGCCGAGGGTCTGGGGGCCATCCTCTGAAAGACAGCCAGGGTGAGGACTGTTGTGTGCTCCTAGGGTGGGCCACCGGGTAACCGCCGAACACTCCAGAACTTCACCGTCAGGTCACTGGGGTGGAGGACAGAGAGGGACTGGTCAGCGATCGAAGGGGGCCTGGCTGGCTACCCCCAAAGCAAAGGATGAGCCAGATTCCCCAAACTCCCCAAATGTGGCTGGGGCCAAAGGGCAAGCATTGCTTAGGATGAGGGCGGACTGCAGGGGTGGAGGGGTGGCTGCTGGGCAGAGGGAGAGGGCCTGTGCTCTCAACGTCCCCAACAGAATTCTCATCATGGGTTTTCGTTGGTGTTGTGTTGTTTTGTTTTGTCCAGGCCTGGCTGCTCCCCCCTCTGCCTGCTGCCACCTGGCACCCCTCTCCTGGGGGTCTGTCCCACTGGTCATGCTCGGAAGAGGAGGGTGGGAGGAAGAGGGGCAGGCAGGGCATTCACTCCAGGCCAGGCAGGGCGTGAAGGGAGAGTAGGGAGGAGGAGTAAAATAATCTCATACCGTTGAGAAGCAGCTCAGACCGAAGTGGAGAAAGAGAGGGAAAAGGAAAGAGGGGGGAATGAGAGAGGAGACGGGAGGGGAGTGTCAAGGCAGGGTGGTGGCTCGGCCCTTTATGGCCAGGACCCGGCGAGGAAGGCAGGGGGTGAGTCCGGGGACGTAATTCCACACCTTTACCCGGCAGTCACTGTTGGGGGAGAGAGGCAGAGAGGCAGAGAGGAGAGGCAAGAGGACATGGGGAGGGAAAGAGGGGAGAGAAGGGACATGGTCGGACGAGAAGGAAAAAGAAGAGACCCCTCTGAGGAGCTCCCCTGTGGGACAGAGGGCCTGGCCATCCCCTGGATGGGGACCAGAGCTGGGGCGGGAGAGAGGCGAGTCCAGGGGGTGGCAGGCCTGCTCTGTGGTCTGAGATTCGTGGATGGGGGAGGGGGGGTGTAAAGACAGCAGGGTGGGGGCTGCTCTGTGAGGGGCAGGAAAGGCTTACAGATAAGGGGGTGAGTCCTGACCTGGGGCCCAGCACCTTCCTGCTCCCCTGCCCCCGCTGGGCACTCTTTGAAGGCCAGCACAGGCTAGCAGGCGCTGTGGGGTCTGCTCCAAGAACCGAGCCTGTTAGGATAGCTGCAGGGGGGCCCGAGGCTCCCCAGCCTGCCCTGCCCAGCCCACACCGGGGACCAGGGTGGGGAACAAAAGCAGACCTCTCTGCCCAGCACTCACCTGGAAGCAGTGAAGATGTGCTTGGCATTGGTGCAGATGGCGTTGATGGGGCTGTCGTGACCCCTGATCTCTCCGATGGGCGTGAAGTTATCCACGTTCCAGACCTTGATGACGCCCGCGCGGCAGGCGCTCAGCAGCATGGGGCGGCCCGGGACAAAGGCCAGGGCACACACCCAGTCCTTGTGTGCATTGGGGATTTGCTGCGGAAGGAACAGCACCAGTGAGGGCTGGGGCCTGTGCTGAGTGGGCAGAAGCCAGCAGAGGACCCTGTGCCACGAAGGACAGCTACCAGGATCCCCTCTGCCTCTGAGGTCCCCAGGTAGGCATCACTGGTCCAGGAGGCAGGCCAGGCGGGCCCATAGTAGGGATTGCAGGGGCCCAGAGATGGGTCCTTTGGTGCTCCCCCATCCCGGGACAAACCCAAGATCCTGCACTGGTGGAAAACTCTTCAGCCCTCCCAGGGTTAAATGCTCAGGAAAGGGAACATGGTGACTCAGCTTTAGAGTCAAACCTAGCGGCTGAGAGCAGCCCCCTTTCCTGAAAGCTACAGCGTAATGGGGAAAATGGGGGGGGGGGGGGCGGTGCTGCAGGGAGGCAGGGGAGTGGACACAAAGGGGAAGAGGGTGGACAACAGGAAAGCTGAGGAGGCTCTGGCCCAAGACCCTGGGTCCCCAAGGCCCTGCCTGGACTGGGGAACAGCCCCACCCTAGCGCCCCCCCTTCCCTTCCACCCTCCATACCTGGATGAGCTCCTGCTGTTCCAGGTCCCATTTCTTGATGCCATTATCCCGGGAGCCACTGAAGAGGATGTCTCCCTGGATGGCAAGACACTCGATGCCATCATAGTGTGGGGGCTCAAAGTTGTGGGTGGGGCCAATGGTGCCGGTCACACACTCGCCCAACTCGAACATCTGCAGGAGGAGAGGCTGGTAGGGAGGGCCAGGGCCAGCCCCCTGCTATCACACAGCACTGTGGTCCCCAGGAGCCCACAGACCCAGTTTGCCCGGCCCAGGGCAGTAGCCACTGTCCTGGGGGAGAGAGGTGTCCCCAGCAGGAAAGGGGTCCCGGAGGAACACTGCTTCTTCCAAGGACAGAGGCCTCTGAAGGCTCGGGTCTTGACCCTTCCTAAGGGGACTGGGGCAAGGGGTAGGGGGAGACTGGCTGAAATTAACACAGCTCAACATGCAGCCGATCTGGAGAAAGGTGGGTTTGGAGTGTGAACCTCCTTTTAAATTCCTTTTATTTTGTAATAAATATTACTTGTACTTTAAATAGAAACATTCATCATAGCACCGACCACCCTCTGCTTCTCTATCGCTTTCCAGTTTCTGACTGTGTACATGTAGCTTTCAATGATGTAATCGGGGAGCAAACGGAATTAGTGTTGTTGTGTATCCTTTGTGTTTTGTTCTCATTTTATCATTTTAGTAGGTGCGCTGCAGCCCATTCAGCAGGTTTTCCCTAATTTATGTGACTGCTATTCAACCCTTGGACATTTAGTGGTTTTAAATTCTTCACCATTTACAAAATATCGCTGCCATCTACTTTCTGCACACACCTGCTTGCTTCTTTGGGGTGATTTCTTCAGCATAAATCCCCAGAAGTCTCATTATATTTCATGAGTATCCCCAAGGCGACGGGGTGGGGGGAGCAGGCAGAAGAAATGCAGAGAATGCCCCCCACCCCCTGCCCCAGGCCGCAGAGGGAGGTCTTCTTAGGTACCTTAACGTAGTGGTCCTTGGAGCCCGTCACCACCAGGTCGTGCTGGCTGGCGGTCTGGGTGACCGTCAAGCACATCACAGGGCCAATGTGGCCAGTCAGCTTGCCAACGGGCTGGAACCTGCAGGTGGGGAGAGGCCCGCCGGTGGGGGGAGATAGATCAGAGGGAACCCTGGGTTGTGGTGGCCGGGTTCATCCTGGAATGAATAGATCTGGCCAGGGCACTCTCCCTCCCTCAAAACAAGGTGAACAATCTAGACATAAGCTGTCCTGGGTCCCAGGGATCTTGGGGAACACGGGACCTGCATCTCAGAGCAGGAACACAAGGCCGACAGCACGGGGAAGCAGAGGACCCCCGGGTCCTGCCAGCCCTGGAGTGTGGCACCCAGAGCCGCGATCAGCGTACCCACCTCCGCCATGCCAAGCCCCCTGCTGCCCCCCACGCATCTCCCTGACCTGCTGAGCTCCCAGATGCGGACGGCATTGCCCGAGGCAGCATACAGCATGGTGCCTGAAGGGCTGAGGGCGATCTGGTTGATCTGATGCTCCCCCTGAGCGCTGGTGATAGCGCGGGTGGATGTGGCAGCACAGGCGTCGCCTGAGGTCACCTGACCCGAGGACCTGCCACAAGCAAGGAAAGCAAGGTCAGAGATCAAAGCGGTCCATCCACACAGGCAGGAAACTGAGCAAACCTCACTCAGACCAGACCTGATAACCCAGTTCTTCCAAGAAGTCTTCCCTGACCCACGGAGAGGAGCCAAGCTCCTCTTAGAAGTTTCTAGTCTGACGTGGGGGAGATCAATGGTGATAGTGCCACTCCCCACCCAGCAGAAAAAGACGGTAAGACTCAGTCAGGGAACTGGGTTTGAACCAGGGTCTGGTGGAAAACGCTTAATCTTTCTGAGTCTCAGTTTCCTCCTCTTTAAAAAGAGGTGATAATATGCATTCTATTTCCTGCGCTTTGGTTTTTTAAAAAGACTACTCTTAGAGAAATTACAGGATCACAGCAAAATTGAGGGGAAGGTTTCCCATATCCCCTGCCCCCACGCATGCACAGCCCTCCCCCCTTACCAACATCCCCACCAGAAGGGTGTGTTTGCTACAACCGACGGACCCAAATGGACACATCATAATCCCCCGCCGTCCACAGCTGACCTGAGGGCTCACTCATGATGTGAGGTTTGGACAAATGTGTAATGACCCGTATCCCCCATTATAGTCTCACACAGCAGAGTTTCACTGCCCTAAAAATCCTCTGTGTTTACTCTTTTGAAAGGATCAAGTTAAATCACAGATGACAGCTTATAACGTAAACACAAGGGTGAGCAAGACTTCTGTTAGGAAACAATTTCACTTTGCTGGAGCCCTTGTCTCACTTCTGTCTCCCGCACGTCTGTCCACCTGAGACCGTCAGGGTCGGGGATCAGGACCAGCTCTGGCGGCTCATTTAGGCAGCTAGGTGGCCAGCGCGGCTTTGGAGTCTGCTGCCGTCTGCTGGGGCCACTCTGATTCCCGGCTCCCCTTTCAGACTCACAGGGGGCCGCCCAGCACACCCCAGGGCCAGGGCCTGGGAGGCTGAGATGAAGCGAGGGGGCCAAACAGTGCAAAGGCTCATTCAAGTTGCTGCCCTGGACGCTGTCCCCTAGCCCAGGGATCTCACTTTGTCCCCCAGATTCAGGTCAAATCCATGTGACTATAAGGGCCTCCGTGTCCAAGTAGCTGGACTCGGCTATACTGAGTAGGTCACCAGGGCTGAGTGCTGGCACCCAGCCCACCACCACGAGCCAAGTGGGGGAGTACCTACGTGAGGGTCCGAATGCACTTGGCGGAGTCCCGGATGTCCCACACCTTGATGTAGGAGGTAGACACGGAGAACACAAGCCCAGAATGGCTGCAGTACTTGATAGACACCACGTTGTTGGGGTGGCCCTTTAGCGCTGCGATCTCCTGGCCCGTGACCAAGTTCCACATCTTACAGCTGCGGTCTGGAAAGGACAGGGAGAGAGGCGGGGGGGAGGGCAGGTGTCCGTTAGCAGGGGCCAGGTCACGCACGCTCCCCCTGCACGGGGGTTGTAGAGGATGGGGGAGACGGTCCACAGACATCCAGAGGGAGGAGCCCTAGGTCTAAGGGAGAGAAAGATGGGCTCGTGCATGCTCACGTGGTGTGTGTGCGCCCAGAAAAACCCCGGTGAGAAGTCCGTTAGAACTTTAGGCCAGGGTTTCTCAAGCAAACTCTATACAAAGACCAGAGTTCTGTGTGTGTGGCCAAGGTGCCCTGGGCTAAAATAAAATTCTTAAGCTTTTGGTGTCTATTCCTACAATGGCTAATAGCTGACACGATCAATGAACAAACGGCGAGCAAATCTTACGGAGAAAACTTGGAATCAACAGATCACACCTAGATTGACAACTCGGCCCCTTCTCGCCGTGCAAATATATATATATATGACTGTCTTTCTATCGACAGGTCTACTGCAGAACTGTTCTTTCCGCTGGTAAGACTTTTCTGATTCTGTTGCTGTGATTAAGTAATCGTGACTGTGCGAGGTCCCACTGCCAAGATCATAGGGATTTCTTAGATGAAAGTGCTGGGGTAGATGTCAGGGGGTAGTAGTGTTGGGGGACTGGGATGAGGAGACAGGGTGGGGCACCTGAGAAGCTTCCTGGAATTTCTGAGGAAGCTTCGGAAGGAAATGCTGAATGGAGCCACTAGGATGAGCTATGAGGGGAGACTTGGTCAGGGGCACCCAGGCCAGGGATCCTTGAGCCAAGGCAAGAGCCATGAGACAAGGTAGCGAGCAAGCCGACCCCACATCCTCAACTACTGGGGGCTCTGTGTTTTCATCCTTACAGCCCACTCTGGCAAAGGAAGCAGGGATGGGTGTGAGACCTAACCCTACCAGGCCAGTCTGGGTTCTACTCACCTTTGGATCCTGTGAACAGCAGCTCATCCGTGGCGTCCAGGCAGAGGATGGGCTTGGTGTGGCCCTCGGCCATGGAGACGCACTGCAGTGGGGCTGTCCTCGCACCCTTGGCTCCTCCAACGGGGGTGATGATGCCCCTTCCCAGGAGAGAGGGAGAAAGGGGGCACCTGTCAGCCGGGAAGACTGAGGCCGGGTTGAGTGAGGTACACAGATAAGAGGGGGCAGAACGGAGAGAGGACTAAGGCCTAATGAAGGAGACCCCAGAGACTCCGGCCAAATGCCCTCAGTGCCTGAGAGCTGGGAATAGGCTGTGCAGGTGGGGAGGGCCTGTCTGCACAACAGCCTGTCAGTCACCATCTTGAGCACTTCTGGGAGCAAACCGTGTGCTAGGCACAGCAGGAAGGAGACGTGGGCCCTGCCCATGGGGAGTTGCCATCTGATGCCCGCCCGACCAGATCCTGAGACGTAAATGCACGGACGCCCCAGCGAGGCAGGGCAGAGGCCCAAGGGCTGCACTGGCTCCTGCAGCAACTATGACTCCTCCCTGCTGCTGCAGTTAACCCAGGGTGAGGTGAGGGGTGCAGAGAGGGAGGATGCTCAGGCTGTCACCCCCCCAAGCACCTCGGTGTCATCTGTCAGTGACTTCTGGGGCTGATAAATGCACACGTGTGTGCAAGTGTGCACACATACACTCCCGCCCACCCATGAGCCCCTTTTGGACCTGCATGGTCAGACCTGTGACTGTCATTTACAAAGGCCTAATTTAATCCCTTTAGGGGCCCTCAGCTCAGCTCTGGGTTAGGGATGTCGAGGCCCCCTGGGGAATGAGGCCACATACACCTGGAGAAGCACCTCCTCATTTCCCACGAACATTCTGGGAGGGAGAATAAGGCTTGTCCTCAGTGAGCAAGAGGATTTTGCTACGCCGGCCTGCTGGAGGTTCTGGGGATGTTTTTTTTTTTTTTCTCAATGAGGGTCTTTTGGAATGAGACCCTGGCCAAGTTATGTGCAAGTCTAAAAATATGTTCTAGTTCTTTTCCAAAGAGAACAATGATCCTGACAGTGATGCCGTGGCCTGTGGGCTACTGAAGTGACCAGTGTTCTTCCCACAGTGCTGGTCAGAGCCCCCATGGACTCAGCCAGGCCCCCCTGCAAGGATGGCAATCAGACAGGGCCAGGTGCCAGCTGGATGTCACACACTTGAGCCCCCAAAGATACCTGCTTCTTCGGACACTGGTTTGGGCCCAGCTGTGTGGCTGGGAAAAAAAGCCCAAGACTGCTGTGGAAAGTGTATCACAAGGATAACCCTCTTTAAGGTTATGAGAGAGGCTGGTAGTCTGGCTAGCTTCTCGCGGTGGTAAAGCCTTGCTCCCTGCAGGCAGGTCTGCAAAGACATCAATAGCCCGGGCAGCAGGTGCAGTGAGCAGTGGGCACTGGGAGAGCCGGAGGGAGCTCTCTGCCCAGCAGGAGCTCAGGCCCACCAGGTCCTAGGACATGCTCCTCGTAGTAGGGTGCTATGCTGGGGTAGCTGGAGAAGCTGGCCACTGGTCATCCCAAAGCTGGGAAAGGAGGTCTCCTAGCACCCGAGGTCCACGTACCAGGAGATGTGGGCAGCAGGCACCGCCCCCCTTGCTGCTCTTCTCAGAGCCAAGGTCTGAAATGTGCACCTCACTGGCACAAGCTGAGCAAGTCACAAGGATGCTGGGGACGGCCACCAACCCCTGCCCAGCTGGGCCCTACAGGCCCCCAGGCTTTCCACAGCCTTGCCCCCTCACCCTAGCCCCTCAGCAGAGCTCGGTCCCAGCCCCAGACAACCCCGGGCTCCCATGCTCTCCCCCTCCCTGCCCAGGTGATAAGAAGAGAACAGTGCCTGTGGCAAGCAACTGTGCACCCCTCCCCAAGCCCTCAGCTCCAGCCGGGCCTGGCCAGTCTGAGGCCACGCAGCAACCCTGAGAGGGAGGAACCACGGGGGAGGGAGAGGCAGGCCAGTGGGGAGGGCGGCATGCTGAGGACTCAGGTGTGCAGGCGGGAGGGGAGGTGGAGCAAGAGGCAGAGAGGGGACAGTAGAGAGTGAGAGCTGGGAAGCCAACACGGGAGACATTCTGTGTGTACCTCAGGACCTCCGACAAAGAGGAGTCGCTGTCATCAGACCTGGGGAGGGCAGAAAATTAGCTGGATTAGGGGAGAGAGGAAAACACACGAAGGGATGGCAGAGGCAGCAGCAGCGTGGAAGGTCAGAGGGCAGGTTATTCTCTTCAAGGGCAGCGGGGAGAGGCAGAGGGCAAGGGCGCTAAGGGAAGCAGGAGAGGAGGTGGGGAGGGGCCGGCCGCCAGGGGTCCCTCAGCTAACAGGGTAGGAGTGAGGAGAGGGCCACGCTCCAGGGCGATGTTCAGCTCGTGGGTCATTTGCCAGTTCCAAGCCCCTGGCTGCCCCATCGTACAAGCTGGGAACACCTTGCCCTGCCCCAGCAACGTTCCTACATGCCTGAGGCCAAAAGCCATGCCTGATCCTATCTACCCCCCCCCACCCCCACCCCCCACCCCCGGGAGCTGGCTTCTTCCAGCGATTCCTCAGGGACTTATTTACAAAGCCCACTGTCCCCAGCAAGCCCGCTGGGATGGGCCTAGGAGCTGAGTCTATACCATGCCTGGGCTCCAAGATCTGGTCCACTGGACAGGGCCAAGGTCTGCAAGACAACCAGGCTGGAATGGCCAGAGTCCCACCTCCATGCTTCTGGAAAAGGGACCTGCTGACTGTAAAGGTATGGTGGGGGTGGGAGCACCCTGGTGGGTCTGGTCCAGGCTCCGTATGCTCCTTCCAAAACGGAAACTGAGCCAAGGTGGGTTTGGGGAGGGAGCAGTATTTTGACCTGGCAAGAGACAGTTCTGTGGAGAAGGGCTGATGTCAGGTACCAGGTGCAAGAGCTAGCACTTTCTAGCCTGGGCTGCCCTGAACAACAGCGCTGCCGCCTTCCTCCCTGCCAGGGTAGAGATGCTTTTAGGGAGCCAAGAGAAGAGCCCTCTCAGAGGCTGCAGAGAGTTGCAGAGGGCTGGGGCAAGGTCCAGAGTGTAGGGAGCACAGAGAGGAGCACGGGGAGGACAGGGTCCCCCCTCTCCCAAGGCAGAGTCCCACTGGGAGGAACGTATGCGGAGCACGTCAGAGGCCCCAGGTTCTGGGCCCAAGTCTGTCACCTTCTAGGTAAATGTCCTTGGGTCTCTTTAAACCTCATTTCCTCTTCTGTAAAATAGGGAAGAGAGTTCTCATGGTTGATTATAGTCCACGTGAATCACATATATGAAAGCAGGGTGCACAGTGAAGGCACCTTCTGAACGCACAGGATTGCTGTTAACACCCACTCGACTATCCGTTGTCACAGCAGCCCAGTGGGAGCTGAACACATCAGTCGGGCTGATCCTGCCATGTGAAGGCAATTAGGGAGTCCCTTTCTGCTGGGACAGTGCACAAGGGCCACTGGGACCTCGCCTGAGCATGTGTGGCAGGGAGGGAGTGAGTGGCTGAAGTGCCAGGAAGGGGCTTCAGAGAAGAATCCAAGAGTCAAAGAATCAGCAGAGGATTCAAGGCACAGTTCTGGTGAGGCCCTATTGGGGGGGGGGGTCTGACCTGTGTGAACATCCCCACCTGACTGCCCCCTGTCCCTGTGGCTTCCTTCTTGCCCTCTCCTGAGGTCCCAGCATGCTGGGGGGTGGGGGGTGGGTGGGGAGGAAGGGTCCACAGTTAGAATAGAAAGAACAGAGACACCAGCAGAAGAGCTTCAGAGCCTCGTCTCTCAGAGGGGCTGGAGCAGCGTGGTCAGGGTCTGCCGGCTGCCCCAACCCTGCCTGTGTCAAGGATCAGCCCACCTCTGCAGCGCCCTCCCTGGCCCGCCCTGGCTCTTACTTGTCCAGTGCTGACCCTTGGCTCTGATTACTGGTGAGACGAGAGAAGACGTTACGGTCGTTGCGGGGCCGAGTAGGAGGGGACGAAGGGGGCGTGAATCCCACATCTGTGGACCTGGCGAGTGGGGACACAGCAGCATCTGTCAGTGACCACACCCCCAGCCCACAGCCTCACACGCGCACTGTCTCCCGCACCACCTTCTGTCTTGGTTCTAAGGCCTGCAGGGCGGGGCCTGCTGTGCAATGATCCCGGCTCCGGGTTAAGCTCCTGGATGCCGTTCTGAAACAGTCCATCCTCATTATTCATGGCTTCTGTATCTGGGAGTTTACTTGCGCATTAAAACGGATTTGTGATCCCAAATTAACTCTCACAGTGCTTTGGGGTCATTCCCAGACATGGAGCAGAGCAGCCAAAAATTCAAGTCCCCAGATGCACACCTTCTCAGCAGAGGTCAAATGAGGCGTCCCTCTGCCTTCTTGCTCTCCTACCGTAAACAAGTGGCCTTCTTGTGGTCTATTTAGGGCCATGTTTTTTGCATTTTTGTGCTTTTCATTGGTGATTTCACTGCTTAAAATACCCCCAAAGCATAGTCCTGAAGGGCTGTCTGGCACATGTCTAAGCACATGAAGGCTGAAATGTGTCTTATGGAGAAAATACATGTGTTAGAAAAGCTTCATTCAGGTGTGAGTTACAGTGCTGTTGGCTGCAAGTTCAATGTTAATGAATTGACAATATATATTAAATGGGATGTCTTTAAACAGAAACACACATAAAACAAGGTTCTATATCGACTGGCTGACAAAAATGTCATGACCGGAAGCTCTCCGGAACCTACCCCTGAATTTCCCCACAAGCAGTGGTTCAGTATTAGATCAGTGAACTAATTCCATGTTCACAGTGACTAGATAGAACGTTAAGTACCATGAATACTGAAGATTGACTGTATCGTCAGGGAAGGGTCCAAGACTTCACTGTACCACCCCATTGCAATAGCCCAACATTTCCTCTCCTTGGAAAGCTGTCATCGGGTTTGACCTATACCCTCCCTCCCTTCCTTTGAAGGGTCTTCATGAGTTCAGCCTAAAGCCCTCAGACCGCAGCTCAAGTGTGTTCTGTCAGTTCCCGGGTGAAGTGATGATGGTCTGTGAGGCCCCTAGTATACAGATATCCATGCAACTCCTCCCCACTGAAGGCCCCCACCACAAGCCACTGGTATGGGCATCTGCCCCGGCTTTGGACTGGAGGGAGGGCTGGGAGCTTGAGCAAATCCTCCTGTCTCCCATCAGGTCGCGTGGTGGCAAGAGGTCATCTTGAGCCCCTGCTCTTCTAGTACAAAGCTGTATGACTTGGAGAAAGCATCAAAGCTCTCTGAAAACTAAGTGCATGCCAGATGACCCCAGGAGGCATCTGGTGACCAGCAGAAGTTCTGTGGGTCATAGTGCTATGAATGGCTAACCAATTAGAGACTTGGCCACCATTCTGCAATCATCTCCTGGTTTTTCTTTAAACTTCTACGCTCCTCACATGACAAGACTTTAGAAAGGGCTGAGACCTCCCAAGTACCCGTGGTTATGAAAAGGAGCTGAAGCATATCAGTACAATGACTAGATGAAGCCACGACAAAGCCACCAATGTTGAGCTCATATCAGCCAACAGTTTTGGGCAGCAGGCTTAGCCATCCAGTTCAAGGTGCTTATGGAGATGATATTTCCTGAGCCCATGCCTGACAGGATGGGGAAGGGGCCACTGGGGGAAGCTGAATGACTTAGTCAGACCAGCCCAGATTAAAGTATGCCTGATTATCTACAGAGTAGAACATCACAGCGATTCATGCATCCAAGGACGGCAGTGACTCTGGTGCAGGTTCTGGAACATGCTCTCACCTAATGGGCTGCCCTCGGTCATACGACTTCCTTCGGGTCAGCGGTGATGTCTCCGTGGCTCGAGACTGCCGGGGGCTAGAACAGAAGAGTCCAGTGAGGCCCAGACCTAACTCCCTGCCCACCCTGACCCACATGGCTGGCCCTCCTCCTTACAAAGTACTGCCTCTGGTGGGCAGGCTGATGGTGCGTGAGACCTTGTCCCGGTAGTAGGGGTCTCGGATGGAGAAGCCCACTCCATCCTCTTTGATCTCGACAAGGGAGGCCAGGGACTTGGTGATGTTCTTGGTGGAGATATCCAGTGGGGGACCCAGGCACTCGGCCGACACAGCCTTCATTTGGGCAGACAGCTTAGGCTCACCCTGGGAACAGAAGGACTGGGGTGAACCAACTTGCCCAAACATAACAGGAGAGCTGGGAGAATTCTAATGAAGGAAATAGTGCCACTTGGCCGATGGTGAAACCACTAATGGAAGATCCAGGTGAACACCACCCAGAGACCATCTCTCAAGACTTGTAGAGAATCCAAAGCAACTGAAAGGGTTTTACTGCCCTTATTTGGACTCTGCACACACAGAATGCCCAGACTGACCTCTTTCCTGGTCACCAGCTAATCAGTTTATCCAAAAACTATGCACAACTCACTGTTCCCAGTCTGCAGTCCCTACCCTTCTCTCTTTAATAAATTCTTTTTCTTGGTTCAGATTAATAACTGACCCCTCACTGGTAGGTGAACTCCCCCATTGTTGACTCCCATATTAATGAATCAATAATCTGCATGCAGAATAGCTAGAGGTCTCAAGTTAGTCTTTGACTCAGAGCATGAGGCAGAGTCTGGTGGGGAACAGGGCAATTTTTGAAAGCAGGGCCTCTGGCTCTGGTGACATCATTAGGCTGTGACTCCAGCCATTTCTCCCACCTTCCACCTATCTCAAAAAGGGTTGGGTTGTAACCGGGGTTACATATCCGAGCACCTCCCAATTCCAACCCAGGGCATCTCCATCCCAGCTGGAGGCAATATTGTTGGGTCAGGGCTGGGGGGTGGGGGCAGAGCTACAGAAAGATGGGAGACCAGGCTACAGGGAGACTGGCCCTGCTGCAGCCTGTCTGCCTTCCTATAGGGCTCACCTTGAACTTGAAATCATCATGGCTGGTGGAACCCTTCATGGTGAATGACTGGGAGAAGCTAAGGAAGAAGCAGAGGGAGTTCAGGATACTGAGAGCCTGTCCTCTGGCTCTCTGAGCCTTAGACTCGTGGATTCCAAAGAGCCCCCAAATCTAGGCTTAGCCCTGGGATCCTATGGCAACCCCCACCCCCAGCCCCAGGTTCATGCTATGAGCTGTCCTCTCACTCATGACTTGGAAACTCACCTCCCCTCAGAGAACTCTGAGATCTCCTCATCTGTGCTGGCATAACCATTCTCTGTGGAAGGGAGGAGGGATGAGTAATGAGAGGCCCCAACAGAGTGAGGGGAGAAGGGATGGCTTCCCTCCCACACCTCACCCACTGGGATCAGACTGGGACTTCTGGGGGAGTTCTGGGGAGGTGAAGGTCCCCCCACCCCAGGGGTTGGAGCTAGGGAGCACTAGAAGAATCTAGGAGCTTCGAGGCCTCTGCCCACACCCACCATACCCTGCTGCACATTGTAGATGAGGGCCTGCAGTTCAGGGTGTGTCTCAGCCTTCTCTCGCAGGGCATCCAGGAGCAGGTGGTTCTGGGAGGAACCCGCTATGTCTGTCTGCCTCAGCCGTCCCTCTAGCAGCCGGATCTGGGCCTCCTTCTGTGCCACTTGTAGCCCCTGTGGGCAAGGAACCAGGCCAGGGGTTACCATTCCCAGCCTGGCTTTGTGGGCACCTTCATCACCACCCTCAGACAACCTGCTCCCAAGGCACCTTGGAGGGTGGCCCTCCCAGACATCACCTGTGTACCTGCTGTCCCAGACCTGGGCTAACTCCTAGACATCACCCTCGTACCTGCCCCAGACCAGAGATGCAACCCCACCCTTCTAACTTTCCCCGTGTACACATGTCAGGAGAGGTCGCCTTAGATACGTTCCCCTGTTATGTGCTGAGTTGTGCCCTCACCCTCCCAAATTCACATGCTAACAGTCCAACCCCCAGGGCTTCAGAATGTGACTGTATTTGGAGATAGGGTCTCTAAACAGGTAATTAGGTTAAAATGGGGTTCTTAGGGTGGGCCCTAATCCAGTATCACTGGAGGCCTTCTAATAAGAAGACATTAAGACACAGGCACACACAGAGGGAAAACTGCACGAGGCGAGAAGGCACTTGCTTACAAACCAAAGAGAAAGGCCTCAGAAGCAACCAATCCTGCCGACATCTTAATCTTGGACTTTTAGCCTCCAGAACTGAGAAAATCAATCTGTGTTGTTTAGGCCACCCAGTCTGCGGCCCTTTGTCATGGCAGCACTAGGAGACTAACACAGTCCCCCAAAACACAGAGTAGAGCTAAGAGCTTAGTGCGAGCAGAGCGGGTCTCCCCACCACCTTGCCAGACACTCTACATGGTGTCTGTCCCCAAAGACCACAGGCCCCAGGGGGAAGGAGGCCCATCCCCTGGCCAGCTGTCAGGGAGAGAGGACAGGAGCACAGGACAGGTTGATCTGATGTCCGAGTGTAAATCTTCCTGAGTGGAATGTGGTCTATCTGTTTCCCGCTGCCCCTGTCCTGACATACAGATACATGCTTCTCCCAGCAGACTCGAGCCCTGCTGTGGATGGGCCTGGACCAGACACGTAGGGTCACTTCTAATGGAGGCCCTGCTATGTGCCAGGCATCATGCCAAGCCCTTTGCATGCATCATCTTGTTAAAGCCATGCAGCAAGCTAAGAGCTTGCTATTGTCATCACCCCAGCTTTACAGCTTCAGAATCAGAGGCTCGGGGGTGGGGCGGCTTGTCCTAGCCTGTAAGTGACGCAGCTCAGGAGCCAGGCCTGTGTGCTTCACCATGAGGGTAGATCACGGAGGCGCCCGTGACTGCTGGGCCCCCCGCCAGTGAGCTGCTGGCCCACCTTGTCAATGGACGCCTTGAGGAAATTGTCCAGCAAGAGACGGGCTTCGGCCAGGGAGCAGGAACTGATGACCACCGATGTGTCCGTGGAGTCCAGCTCCTCCTACGATGGGGAGGTAGAGATCCCTTGTCACTGAGACTGTCCCCCACCCCCCTCATCTCTTCTGCCTCCGCCCAGGCCAGGCCAGGCCCTGTGGGCACCTTGGTCTCCTCCAGCTGCACGATGGTGGCCTGGCAGTCGGTGATGCTGTCGTTGATGTAGTCAATGTTGGCTGCCAGCACCTCGATCTCCTCCGCCAGCTCCTGCAGCCCCTTCTCCTCCTCCGGGCTCTCAGCCTGCAGCCGCTCCCGCTTCCTCCGCAGCGCCTCCTGCAGGAGGAACAGCTCCTCCCTTTTCTGCAGGGAGGGTGATGGAGGACAAGCCTCAGGTTGCTGCCCAGCCCTGCCCACAGCTCCCCCCAGGTGGGGTCCCTGGGTCCCCCTGCACCTCCGGATTCCAGAGCAGGCACAAGGAGCGAGCGGAATGGGGATGAGAAGGTCTGATGAGCTGGAGGAGTCAGAAGTGGCAGAGGACAGGCGGAGGAGTGCAGACGGGAAGGAAGGGGAGACGGGAGCCCCAGGCTCCTTGTGGTCAGGCCCACCTTGATGAGCCGCTCCATGTCAGCCTCCAGGTTGACAATGGTCATCCTCTGCATGACGATGTCAATGATCCTCCGCTCCAGGGACTGCCACTTGAGCCTGGCAGCCTTACTAAAGCTCTGGCTGGCCCCCTTCTTCTGGAACTTCTTTCTGGGAGACAGAGGCAAAGGGAATTGGTTGGGAACACTCCCTTTCTACATTTCCCTCCCCCACCCCCAGGTTCTCTATAGTATTTTGTAATTAAACAATGTTAATAATATGTTCTTTTGGGGGCAAATGCATGTTTTTTATCATTTTATTTCATCATGAAAAGTGTACTCTTTAATCCCCATCCCCCCACCACCTGGAAGGGAGCACTCTCAGCCTCTGTAGCTCCGTGGTCCCCCTGAGCCCTGAGCCGACGGCCATGCGGACCCGTCACAGGACCACACTTCCCCTGAGCTTGCCTCTCTCTGCTCCTGCCCCCATATTTCTGCCCGCTCTGCCCGCAGAAGCCAGGGTACTGCCCGCCCGGCTCACCTGGCGGGGCGGGTGCCGTTGACGGCAGGCGCGGGGTGGTCCCCCAAGAAGTGATTGATTTTGCGGTTCCACTGGCGCACGATGCTGGAGACAGAGCGGGCCCCTGATTCAGCCTCAGATGAGGTGGTACTGGCTGACACCTCAGCCCCCGAGTCCAGCATGGGTGGCTTCGGTCCTGCACGCCCCGCCACCCTCTCAGACATGGGCTTGGCCAGGCGCCTGAGTGCAGAAACCTGTGGCCAAGAAAAGAGGAACCCAGTGAGCAGGGCACCCGGGGACCTGTGAAAAGGCCCAAATTGGGGGGGAGGGGCCGGAAGGGGAGTCTACAGGAGCTGCTCCATCCAGGGTGAGCTTGGGACTGAGAAAGAGCCAAGGGCTCTCTGTTTGATATGAAATGAATACAAGAGACTTCCACCTTTTGAATAAAGGTCTCAGGCCTTTGGGACCAGAGCCTGCAGCCTGTCTTCAGGCCTCGGCCCTCTTGTTGAGCAAGGCCCTACAGCAGGCCTCGCGCAGGCTCTGCTCCATCGTGTTTGCTGAGAGAAAAGGGAGAGCCAGGGCCACTGCCAGCGGGCACTTGTTCCCTCCCGGCTCTGGAGGAACTCAGGAGAAGGGGAACTGTGTCTCGCTCACCTCCTGGGTTTTCCTCCTCAGGACCATTTCCTGCTGCCGCTTCTGGGACTCCAGAGCTCGGATCTGAAACTGTGGGTGAGAGAAGGGGGTTGGGGTCCACACTTTGGCCCCGCAGCCTGGTCTGCCCACCTCTGTAGGTGACGGCCTGGCTTTCGGGCTGATTCCTGTGTAGCCAAAACTTATTGATAAAAGGGGACGCGGAGTCTGGTTCCCCTTCCCGGAGGTCACAGTGCAGACCCTTCTCTCTGTGCAGGCAATTCCCTGAGCCTCTTCTCCACCGCACAGCAAGGGATCCGGGACTAGGGGGCTCGGGGCTGGACGCTGCACAGTTCCGGCTCTGGATTGCTGGTGACCCTGGGCAGGGTCCTGCCATCTGGGGCTCGGGTCCTCCATGCCCTGCGCCCCCCACCCCCAGACACTAGAGGGGCTGGACCAGAAGCCTGCCGTGCCCTGGCCCTTCCATGCCCTGCTGTGGGAACCGAGGGGCAGCCAGGCACACGGGGAGGCTGGGGGTCCCCAAGGGCTGCCCCGCACCTCCTGTCGCCGCTGTTCCTTCTTGAGCTGAGCAATCTCCCGGTTCCTCTTAGTCTCCACCAGTCGCCGCCGCTGCTGCTCTTCACGCATCTGCTTCATCAGGGCCACCTGGGACGGGCAGGCATGGCAAGGGTGAGGGGGTCTGGGCAGTGGGGGGCCCATACCCTCCGGGGAGCAGCTGGCTCTGGGGATGTTGGGCAGGGTGGTGGCCCGGGGCTCAGGGGTCTGCCCCTCCTCTTCCGTGGTAGTTGAAGCTGCCCCATGCCCGGGCAAGCTGCCAGCCCAGATGTGCAGGTGCAATGACTCTGCCAGGTCTAATCCTGGCCCCCCACTTCCAAATGTCACAGCTCTTGGTGGCTTTTACCCAAACCTGGGTCCTGGGTCTGGCCCCTGGAGACCCAGCCCAGGTTGCTGGAGGCAGGTAATCCTACCTGGGTGGGGCACATTCCTCTCTCCCACTGACAACTGAGCTGCAGACAGGGCTGAGGTGGGGGTCAAGGCCACATATCAGGGCCAGGCTCCCAGTGACAACAATAAAAGCCACCACCATTTATCGAGAACATGCAATATGCCAGGCACTGTTCTTGTGACAGTCACATGAGAGAGGCATTACCGTTCTCGTTTTATAAATAAGGAAGTGAGCCCCAGAGAGACCAATGACTGAGTCATAAAACTGGTAATGAACGGTCAGAGTTTTGGCCCCGGTCATTTTGTCCCTAAACTCCAGCTGTTACTCTAGCCGCAGGGAGGACCGCATGCCAGTTCAGAGCAAAGCCAGTGATCAAAGCTTGGAAAGCCTAGAACCTGGGGTTGTCAGAGCTGTGACAAAGGCACAGAGAGCATCATCATAGTGGCCAGAGATGACCCAACATGATAGAGAGCTTGTGCCTGGGACCTCACGGCATCCGCACCCTCCTGCCAAGTGCTGGTGGCCAAAGAAGGATAGGGCAATGTACACGGGGTTTTAGACACTTTCCAAGTGACAGGGTAATGAAAGTCACACAGAGCTTGATCCTTCTCTGCCACTGAGGCCTCAGACATCTCCAGGAATGTCACCAGCCTGCAGTGCCCTGAAGACAGTCTCGAGTGGAAATGGCATGGGAGGGAAGGAGGCTCCAAGGGGGCTGGGGGCTGGGGAGGTTGGCTTCTCCCACAGAGGGCAGGCCCTGCAGGGGTGAATCTGTAGAGGAGGGCTGGCAGCTGCTGGGTCTTCAAGGTCAAGAATGAGTTTTTTCCCAAAGAACTGGCATTCAGCAGACAGCCCCGGGCTGACCTGAGAACATGTTAGAAGCTGTGTGCAAACCTGAGATGGCACCTGCTGGGGTCAGGGGTCAGAGGCTTCCTGGGGAAGAACTGTGTACCCCTAGACAGAAGCCCACCCACCCAACTTCACATGTGTGGCCAAGTTGCACAGAGGGGAAGGTCTCAGAAGGGGCAGGAATATCCCAGGCACACAGCAGTGCGGACATGGGTCACAGTGCCTGAGACCAGCATTGCTCTGTACATCTGAAGTAGGAGGCATTGTCTCATCTCCCAGGAGACCCTGGGGACCGTGGACCCCACATGGGTTCAATTCTGTGAATCACACTGCAGCTGAACTGAGGCGGGAGGGTTCTTAGACACTGGTTCTCATGGCATCAGGTTAGAACCCGAGGTTGCTGCACCATCTGTCCTTCTAACAGAACCCTGGGCCCTGCTGGGGCACCCCTGGAAGGTTCTTTTCTACCTCTAGCCAGGGCTCATGAGAACACAGTTAGATGGGCAGCTGGCTGAAGGGCCCTGGCAATCCTGAGACTGAAATGCAGGAAGACTGGTGGGTCCTCGGTCCTTTGGATATCCTGGACATCATATTATTTCGCCAGGCTTCCCTTACGAGGCTCTATTTAGGGTCACCCCAGCTAGGATGTGCACTGGCCAGCTCAGGCTGCAGGGGCGTTAGCCAGTGAGCCTCCAGGGAGACACAGAGTGAGGACACAGATACACGGCCCAGGAGCGCCTACACAACACAAACCTTGATGGGTGCGCTGCTTCCCCCAGGGAAAAACCAAGGCCCCCTGGTCACTCCCTTCTACACCACCAGAGGGCACTCCTTGGGACCAGGTCAGGCCAGCCAACCTGAGTAAAGCAACAGCCTGGCCGGGCTGATGGAGCCCCTGGATCTGTGGCCCAGCTGAGGCTGGAGACAGAGCGTGCCCGGGAGAGGTGGCCAGGACTACCCGATGGCTCAGAGCCCACCTCCTCTCAGAATGCATCACTAGCGCATGGCCTCCTTCCTCTGCACGCAGGTCAACACGTGAGTCAGCGGTGAGGCCACAGTTACTAACGGCTGGCTCCCCAAGTCCATACTGCTGTCCCATCAGCCTGAAGCACCTTTGGTGCTCCCATTTCTGAGGCCAGCCCTCCACAGCTTGCTGGGACGGCTGCCAATGCCAGGTTTTGCGAGGGGGTCTAGCTTCAGGGCCTGGCCCAGGGCTGGGGAGAGCTGGAATGCACGAGGGGCTAAGGGCCAGGGTAGGACAGCAGGGCCAGGAAGGCCAGGGGGAGGGAGGACACGAAGGGAGTGTGGAGGTGCCGGGCCGCAGGCCAGAACAAGAACATACTCAGACGTCGGAGGCAGAAGACCTGAGCCAAGAAACCAGAGCTTCAGGGGCAGACTCCAGGCCCCAGAGACTAAGTGCTCTGGGTGACGGCAAAGTGGAAAAGGCACCATGCCACACAGGACTCAAGTTGGCTTAGGAGGCAGAGAAGTGAGTTTGAATCCCAGCGCTAACTTTGGGTAGCTGGAAGGGACCTCTCTGAGCCTCACTTTCCCATGCACGAAATGGGAATAATAATAGGGCCTCCTTCATGAGGTTCTCCTGAGTACTTAGTATGCTCATGCATGTGAGACCACTAGCCTAGAGCCTGACCACAGTAAGCATTCAGACAACAGTAATGATTATTATCACTGTAGGCCAAGGCCCAGCACCCGGGCGATCCCTCACATGTACTTGGGAGGACTGGGGGCAACTGTGGCGCAGTTTCCCACCACAGGGGGCAGTGTTGAGCAGCGTCCCGCGAGTTCCTCCCCTGTCCCTCTACTGGGAGAGGTGGCTTCACCCTGGACCGTGAACCCGGCTCAGATGACAGTGTCCAGGGCCAGGACGGGCTTGAATTACGCAATGCTGTGCGTCGGGAAGATTTCCACGCTGATAGCGATGGTTATTTTTAACACAGTAAGTGGATTCTAAGAGGACGTCCCACGGCCACCCCTCAGCCCTGCTGCGCACCCCCTCGGCCCTACCTTGGCCTTCTTCATCTCAGCCACCTCGGCCTGCAGCTTCTTCAGCTCCCTCTCATAGCGGGACTGGTTTTTGAGCAGCCGCGCGTGCTCCTTCTGTGCGGCCTGCAGCTTCTGCAAGTCTCGGTTCATCTCCCGCAGCCTCTTCTCATAGTCCGCCTTGATCTTGTTGGCCTTCTCCTCCGTGTAGCACTCCATGGTGCCTGAGAGCAGCAAGAGGCGGCTGTGTCAGCTTCGGGCTCAGATGGTGGGGGGTGGGGGGCGGGAGCCCGGGTTCTAGTCTCACTGCGGGACCCTGAGCAAGTCACACGCCTCTGTGCGCCTGTTTCTTATTTAAACACTGAAGGGATCAGACTGGAAGATGCCAAGTCCCCTTCCTGCTCTGACTTTCTACTGGACCTGGAGGGGGTGTCTGCATCTTGAGACCTCTGAGCCTCCTGGGAGGGTCCTGTGGGCCACTCCTGCTGGCTTAGCTCTGACCCATAACTAGAGGAAAGAACCAGGCCAGTGGGAAGGAAAGAGCTAGTACGAAGACAGTGATGCGGGCCAGAGCAGAAGGAATAAACTGATTTCTCTACCCTTGACCTTTGCTGCCCAGAATGCGCACAGGCGTCCCCTTGGGGATGTGCAGCAGATACTTCAAACTTAACAGGCACAAGACCAGACTCCCAATCTCTGTCCCCCTCACCCCAGCAGGCTTCCCCTTCTCAGTAGATGCCATCACCATCCTTCCAGAAGCTTGAACCCTGGAGACACTTTTGGCTCACCTTACGTCTTCTACCCAGTCAACAAAAGCTTTTTTCTCTCTACCTAAAAAATGGGTCCAGAACTGGACCACTCCTCAAGCCCATGTTGTCTAAATCCTCTTTCACCACGGTTATTTATTTCTTCTTCGCTGTCTTTATTTATTTCTTCTTTGCTGTCTTTTTTTGCCCCAATGATTCACCAGAATCTTTTGTAACAGTTTCTAATTAATCTTAAGCTACCACTTTCATTCCCCTCCACATCAGCCAGAGTGTTCTTCTCAAAATGCTTTTAAAATCTACATCACATCGCTCTCTCCAAACTCCACACCCTCCCATCTCCCTCAGAGAATAAAGCAAGGTCCTTCCAGTGACGGACACGACCTGCTCCCGTCTTTCTTGTCTCATCTCTTGCCACTGGCCCCCTTTCACCGTGTTCCAGCTGTCTGTCCCTTGTCATTCCACCAACATGCCAGGCACACTCCCACTTCAGGGCCTTGGCATCTTCTGTTCTCTGCCTGGAATGCTCAGCCCTGTGCTCATTCTGCGCTGGCACTCTCTCACCTCCTTCAAGTCTGCTCAGATGTCACCTCCTCCATGAAGTCTTCCATGACCATCCTTTGTAAAACTCTAACCCGCTCCCCAACACTCCCTGACCTCCTTCCCTGCTGTATATTTTTTTCTTGGTACTTATCAGCATCGGACATGTCACCCACTCTGTTTACTTATTGTATTTACACCTGTCTCTGCCCATCAGAATGTACACTTCGTGATGCAGGGATTTTGCTCACCCCAATATCTCTAGGACCTAGAACAATGTCAGCTCTATAAGACAGAGTCAACAAATGTTTGCTGAATCAGTGGATGAATGAGTGAAACAGTAATTGAATGAATTACTGCTAAAAAGCAGTATAAAGAAGACAGAATGTGACAAGTAGATTTGTAAATAGGTTCGAAGGAAAATGCTCCAGGAACTGAATGCAGAAAAAAAGCTGAGGAGCATCAGGTCCATGTGCCTAGGGAAATAAAGGATTCTAATACCAAAGATGCCAATAAAAGAATAATAAATGTAAAATGTAGCACGAAACTAGGGTTAGACCTAAGACATTGATGACAGTGGGTCAAAGGGCCACAGTCCATGGGTCAGAAGCCCTTGCCCAGGAGACCAGGTAAATCCCACAGGTGCCAGCTGCTGGGCGGGGCTTGTGACAGTGGAGGGAGGGGCCTCAGGGGAAATCGAGGGCAGGGTGGTGGCCTCACTGAGGTTCTGCAGCACGCGGTCTCGCTCCAGCTGCGTGTCTCGGATCTTGTTCTGCAGGAGAATCAGCTTCTCCTCATACTGGTGCTTGAGAGTCTGCAGCCGCCGCTGGCTGTTCTCCAGCTCGTCGATCAGTTTCTGCTTGATCTCGATCTCGCATGTCAGGTCGGCCAGGTCTGCCTGGAAGTTCACCTCTGTGGGGGCAGAGACAGGCTCAATCCAGTTCCAGGGGCTTAGGGCCGGATGGGGGCGCTGGGGCTTTCCTTTGGTCAGCCGCGCCCAGTTAGCGAGCAGAGGCTGGAGGGAATGATAAGTCCCATGGTGGGTAGGGGCTGCCGGATGGGGTGACATATTTGAAGACCAGCCTCAGAAATTTGAGGCTGGCCCAGGAGCTGGGGGGGGGGGGTGGTCTAGGCATCCCACCACCCCTGTTGTGCCCCAGAGGCCAACGTCTACCTGTCATAGACGGCATGGGACCCAGCCGGGGTGGAGGAGGAAGGCTGTGGGTCAGGAAATGGCAGCAGGGCAGAGCTGATAGGGTGGGTGCCCCCACTTAGAGGAGTGGGTTTTAGCACCGGCCAGACCTACATTCAAGGCCTGGTTCTGCATCTGCCGCGCGGGGGGGGGGGGGGGGGGGACTCCTAACATCTATGCACGGGGTTGTAGTGAGAACTGAACGACCCAGGCCAAAGGTCAGCAGTTCCTGGCATATAATGAGCATTGCCATCCTTAATCACTACTGTTGCCTTTGTTGATGGTGGTGGTGGTGATGGCGATATCACATCTGGGAGTTCCAGGCCCTGGATATCCACACTCTTTGAGAACTCAGTTAAGGCCTGACCCCCTTAAGAGGGGCCTGACCTCCCCGCCCCGCCCCCCCCCCCCCCCCTCCTCGGGGCATCTGGCTCAGAGACTTGAGTCTGGAAGGTCCGCGCAGTTTCTCTGGGCCCAGGGCTGACGGGCAGCCCACCCCGCGCACCTACTACTCCGCGTGTCGCTTCCCCCTGCCCCAGCCCGGGCACACGCACCCTTCTCGTCAGGGTCTGAGTCCGAGTCCACCAGGCTCTCCTCACTGCCCGAGTCCTCGTCTTCATCCTCACGCCCCTCCTCCTCCTCACAGCCACTCTCGTCTCGCTCTTCCTCCTCCTGGGCACCAAGCACCATTAGGGGAGGCCTGCGGACCCTCCTCACTCAGGCTGGGCCTGGCCTCAGGGAGGGGAGTCCAGAAGCAGAGGGAGTCTGGACAATGCCCCAGGCGTGTCAAGACGGTGGGGAACGGGGCAGACCAGGCTCAGGACCCCTGTGCCCACCCCTAGTCCTGAAAGAGTACCACCCGACTCCCCCAGCAGCCTGAGCAGAGCCCCCCGGGGACAGCCTCCCCACCCGGCCTCACCCGTTTGGAATGAGGTGGGGGACTGAGAGATGGAGAATGCCAGGGCAACCAGTTAGCCATACAAGGAAGCTTCGGGATCAACTCAACTGGGGGCAGACTTAAGCCCCTCTCCCATCCTGCCAAGGTAGCCATGGGGACCCCTCTGCTCAGTAGGGATGCAGGAGTGAGCACGTAGAGGGGAGGGGACAGGGACGGTCCCTCACCTCCTCAGCTTCATTCTCGTCGGTCTCCTCACTGTTTTCCTGTTGGAGTTTTGCCCTCTTTTTGAAGGCCTCCTTCTCTGGACTGCCCAGGAGTGAAGGGTGGGCCAGGTTAGCTTTGAGCGTGTGGTAGGGGGTGGTAGGGGTAGGATAGGGCAGGAGGATGGGGCTGGGTTCCTGTTCTGCAGAGAATGTGGCTACTCTTCTCTACCCCCAATCTAGAATTAACCCTGCGTAATCTCCACCCTCCCTCTCCCCGGGGGAAGGTGCAGCATTAGAGAAAGGAGAGTGGCTTCTGCCCAAAAGCCTGAGCAAAAGTGCTCAGAGACTTCCCAAGTAGCCCTGGGGCAGCTCCCCGCTAAACACAGGCAGGTGGCAGGGCTCCTGCAGAGCCCGCCGGGACGGGGGGGCTCCCCACTCACCTCTTTCTCCGCTGCCTGACCTCCTTCTTCTTGAGCCGCTCCAGGTCCTGCTTGGCCCTGCGGATCACCTCAGAGGCATCCTCCATGGAGCTGGCCGGGCTGCCCCCGAAGGCGGGAGCCCCCGGAGATGCACCCAGTGAGTAGGGGCTCCGAGCTGAGGCCCGAGACAGGCTGCGGCGCAGGGACTCATTCATGGCCTCGCTCTCCAGGAGCTTCGTCCTGCGTGGGGAGAGTAAGTGGTCGGGGCCAGGTGAGCTGACATCGCCCCGGGCTCTGGCCCAGCCCAGGCCCTCTGCCGTTCCCAGATATGCTGGGGCCTACTCACCGCAGCTCCTCAATCTCCCGGATGTAGTTCTGGATCAGAGCACCAATGGCCTCATTGCCATCACCTGGAGGGGGAAGGGCGCAAGGAGAGGGCAATAAAGAAGACAAGGAAGGGTAAGGACTTGCGGCTCAAAGCTGGTGGTCTTGTACCTGTGCGTCCAGTAGGACAGCACACACGGACCTTTCCCAAAAAGGAGTCCACATCAAAGAAAGATGCGTACGTGTGCACAGATATACACAAGCACTGTTGGTAAAAGCACGAAATCGGAAACAACCGAGGGCCATCCGCAGGCACTGCTGCCGATGATCGGCACATATGAAACACTGTACAGCTTAAAAGAATGAAGTAGATTTATATGTTTAATAAAAGATCTCCAAAGCATAAGGCTAAGTGAAAATGGGAAGTCGTAGGACAACACATACGATCTCACATACAGAAAAAAGGCAGTATATATTCACACACACATATGTGTGTACGTCCATATGAATACATAGCCACACTTGGAGCAAAGGTATGGAAAAATATGGGAAAATGTGCCCAGAGCTACCTCTAAGAAGTAGAGAAGACACGGAATGGAGACTTCAGTGAGAAGGGATTTTAACCTCTACTTTATGCATGCATGTTAAGCAAGGAAGACGTATTCATGTATTACTTGTGTCGTAAAAAAAGGTTTAAAATCAATTGGAGGGGCTCCTTGGTGGCTCAGTCGGTTAAACGTCCGACTTCGGCTCAGGTCATGATCTCACAGTTCGTGGGTTTGAGCCCCGCATTGGGATCTGTGCTGACAGCTCAGAGCCTGGAGCCTGCTCCGGAATCTATGTCTCCCTCTCTCTCTGCTCATGCTCTGTCTCTCTCTCAAAAATAAATAGACATTAAACAATTTTTTTAAAGTAATAGATAAAAAAATAAATAAAATCAATTGGAAAAAAAATGCTTCAATGCATCGATCTGTGTGTGGATTGGGCGGCTAGCCCAGCCTCCCTAATGTCCTAGGGTGGGTATGGGGAGAAGGACCCCCAGCCTGTTGGTGTCCGAGCTGGCCTGGTGCACCCCAACTTACCGGCCTTGGCGAGGAGCAGATTGGCCTCCTGGCTCATGAGATGGGTGACGCGGTTGTTGATGGCATCGATGGCCTCCTGCATGGCCTTTACCCGCAGACGCAGCGCCCCATTCTCCTTCTGCAGCATGGCATTCTCCCGGAACAGGTCACTGTAGCCCTCGGCACCGTCCTCTCCGATCACCCTCTTGCCCTGGGAGGAGGGGCAGGCAGGGGGTGGTCAGGTGCCAGAGTACGTAGTGCGGGGAGGGGTTGATGATGCACATGGCAGTGCTGGTGGTCTTCCCCTGCCTCACGTTTTCTAAAACATAGCTCCTGTCTCCCAATACTCTCCTTGACAACCAGAAAGTCCAAATTCTATAGCCAGCCATTCCAAGTCTCCCCTATTCTTACCTTGACTTACCTTTCCAGCACCTACCTTCATACCACCATAAGTGCTAACCCAAGGGCCAAAACCTCAAAGGGCCCAGGCAGTTGGCATATATGAGTAAATTAGTCTGGGTACAAGACAACAGGGAGTGTGGGGACTGGAGCTAACAGAGTCACAGACTCAGTCTAAAAGGGGGCAGCAATATGCTACCCCAACCAACTTAGTGCTCTGTTATTAGATGTTCAACTTTTTCAGGAAAAACTGAAATTTCCTGATTTTCAGAAAGGCAGACAACAAAGCTGTATTCTTTTAAAACAAAGGGCAAGCCAAACCAAAACCCATTCGTGTACCAGGTGCAAGCCACGGGCTACTAGGCAGCCACTGATTTTGCCTCAGTCATGTGGAATTAGGCACTTCCCCAAGAAGCACCCATTTTTTCCATCTCTGTTCCTTTGCACATGGCTCGTTTGCATCCTAGAACGCCTGGTCCACTTGCTTTTGATGATATCTCATTCACTTTTCAAAATCCATATAAAAGGCCCCCGTCTCCATGCGGCCTTCCCTGACTGGCCACCTGAGCGAGTAGGGCCAGCTCTCTCCCCTGCCCTGCCCCTAGGCACACTGGACTACTCATGCGGTCCCCGTCAATTCTTCTTCTGTACCAAAGTCTAGGAGTCTCATCTGGTCCAACGTAGCCTATTCAGCGGACATGAAAACACCCAGCAGGGCGTCCATCCTGTGCTTAAGAGCTATGCAACAGAAGCTGAGTTCCCTCCTTTCTCTTAGTATGCTAAAACCCTGGGGGCTCCGACCGTGCTCACTTCACCCAGGGAAACCCCTATGCACAGAGCCGATACTCAGGACGTGGTGGGGACATGGTGGGGAGGTGGTGGCGGGGTGCGAGGGACGCTGAAGAACAAGGGCCCGCCACGCCCAGGAGTGTGCTCACCGCCTTGTACTCCATTAGCTCCATCTGTAGGCGCGCGATCTCGGCCCGCAGAGCGCTGATCTGCTGGCTCGTCTTGTCCTGGTTCACCACCACCTTGTTCTTGATGTTGCGGGCCCGATTGGCGTACTTGAGCGTGTTGAGCGTCTCCATGAAGTCGCGGTCTGAGGGGCTCACACAGGCAATCATGATGGTCTGGCTGGGAGGGTGCAGTAGGAGAGTGAGGTTCGAGGGGCACAGCCAGGCCCCCAGAAGCATCACCTCAGGGCGCAGCTCCCAACCCATTCCCCTACTGCCCTAAGGCCCTAAGGCCCTGGGCATTCACCAGGGCAGAACCTGGGATGTGGGGCTCTGGACCACCTGGCCAAGGGCTTCCTTCCAACGGTGGTAACCCACAGTGAAGGCGGCTGGCAGGTTGTGATATATCACCGCCAGTCACAGCTCTGTGTCTGCCTAGTAGTTCCCATCCATTACCCCATTTGGGCTCTGTCACTTTGAGACTATCTCTCCCGGTTGCACAAAGAAGCGGAGTCTGACCATGTTGGCTAGAGGTCATACGGCATCTTGAGGCTCCTGTCTCCCAAGCCCGCAGCCTGCAGTGGGAAGGCCTCCTCATCCACAAGGTCCTCATGAATCAAACCCTCACATCGATATTCTCCAGGAGGTTCCTGCCTACCCTGCCCCTTCCCTGGATGTTGGCTGTAGGGTACCTGTTGCCTCCCAGCGAGTCCTGGAGGAGCCGGGTGAGCTTGGAGTCCCTGTAGGGCACGTGTACCACCTTCTTGCTCTGGTCCCCCAACGCGCTGATCACGTTGCCCAAGGCCAGCTGCAGGAGACAGACCCTGGCACTTGGGAGGCACTCAGGGAGAGAGGGAGTCGGGACAAGACAGCCCCGAGCCATCTGTACCTGCCTCGATGGCCCAGCAGCCCTCAAGCTCCCTCAGAGGGTTTCTAGGCAGATGTGATCATTCGGTGAAATCAGGAACTGGGGCAAGAGTGAGGGTGAAGGACCAAGGGCCTCACAGTAGTGACATATGGGTGCTCTGGGCAGCAACCAACAAGAGGCCCAAGGAGGACGGGACAGCCAGGGCCCATAGGGTCTGGAGAGGGGCTGAGACTGAGCTGTGCCAGCTGCTGGGGCTGGTGACCCGCCGCGTGTGCCTACCAGGCCGCAGTTGATGGAGATGCCCTCCTTGGCCCGCTCGCCAGTGGCCCCCGTCCGCTTCAGCCGCTCTGAGCCGGCCAGGTCCACAAAGTGAAACTTAGCAGTGAGCGTCTCATACTCACTTGTGGGAGCCGTGCCCTCAGGAAGCCCAGTCACAGCCTCATTCACCTGCAGCAGAAGTTGGCGTCTAAGTCACCTGGCCCTCGCCCCACCTTGCTGCTCCTCTGCTCTCAGCCCTTGTCCTTCAGTACTGCTGCCTGGGGCGCTGTGGGGCCGAGAGCCAGGGAGGCTGCAGGCACCTCTCCCCTTGCACAGGCAGAGCATCTGGCAATGTGCACAGTAATTGCACATGCCCGATTCTCATGCAATCCTCAAAACCATAGAGGCATGGTTACCCCATTGTACAGGTGGGTAACTGAGGCTTAAGGAAAACGAGAAAGAAAAATCAACAAGTGGCAGAGGCAAACCCAGATTTGCTAGTTTCAGATCCACAGCTCCTTCCTCATTTTGCCCTTCTGAGAAGCCCCCATAATGCGCCAGCTCCTGGGGCTCTGCGGGCTCCTTACTGGGTCGGGCTGGCTGCACACTCGCATCTGGCACACGTGGATGGTGAAGATGGCGTGTGAGCGGGAGCTCTGCACGTTCATCTGGGTGCTGGCCGTGGTGCGGGACAGGGCCCCCTGCTTCAGGCACTGGATCAGCTGGGGAGGGAGGCATACGTGAGGACAGCAGACCAGCTATGCAGTCGGCCCCTGCCTGTCCCGGACCTTTAGTGAACACTCACCTCCTCCTGGGAGGTGATGAGGCGGGAAGTGACGCCCGTGGTGTAGATGCCACCGTTCCCGTCCTCGTGGATCTTGATGTTGGACCTGCGGTGGCGGGCGTCAGGGTCACGGGTGCTATCAAACAGGTCAAGGATCTCCTCGTTGTAGAGCTGGGCAGGGGCAGAAACAGCTGCTGGGTTCACGTGGCACATAGTGTGGAGCCCCAAGGGGCTTTCCCATGTTTGTAAATCAGCTCCATTTTGCAGATATAGAAACTGAGGCTCTGGGAGGTGAACCTGTCAACACTGGTTCCCTCTAGGTTCTAGATTCCATGATCTTTCTCCTGAACAGGTATGAGGGGGGCAGCTGGGTCCTGGGAAGAACTATATTAAGGTTTTGTTTCCGCTGCCCAAGCAACCAGCATTCAGCAGCTTTCAGTCTTGGCAAGGGACTAATGACCTAAAGGGGACAAGGGGACTCAACGTCCAAGATGTAAATGAGGAAGATATGACCGAGATTTGGGCAGATCCTACTATGTTGTTACTAGGCTAGGAAAGGGGTAGGGACGTGGTTTCAGATGAGGGAGGGAAAGGCAGAGCTCAGTAGAGACTGATGGTCCCCGGGGGTTGAGATGACGACTACCTCCCAATGGGGAAGGAATGTGGGCATGGAGAGCATGCCCTTGGGGCCTGGCATCCTGGGGAGGGCCTGCAGAGACCACTGGGAGAGGTGACCTGGCCAGGAGCAGTCACCTTATTTTACATGCTCTCAATCTTGGAGATTCCTGTGCTTGGAATCCCTGCAGGGAAAGCTTCACCTGCTGAAGGGTTGGCATATTCTCCAGGCGGGGCGGGGCTGGGAGTGGGGGCTGGGGCTGGGGGATGGGAAAAGGGACAGGGCAGCTTGGTCAGCGGCCAACAGAATCCTGTGGGGGAGGGGCAGACGGCAGCCCTCTGACATCCGAGGCTTTGATGCCTTAAAGAAACAGAAATACTCCACAGGAAGGGGAAGGGGAAACGGAAGGGACTGGTGCAGAGGTGGGTGCCATGGTGTCTGTCTGTCTGTTGAGACAGGCGCACCATCATTTAACCCCTTGTGGTTCCTCCTTTGGCATGAGTTTTCTAGGAACTGCCCTACTCTTTGGGGATTCCCATGGCAATAGGATAGAGGAAAGAAGAAAATAAAGAGATGGAAAAGCTTATAGAGATACACAGCCGTAGGACACACACACACACACACACACACACAGGCAGGCAGTCAATTTATCAGAAGCAAAAAGGCCAGAAGGACAAAGAAAAACTCTCACATCTAAAATACAGGGTCCTCTAAGGGGAAAGCAGTCGCTCTGAGTGCCCAGGAGGGAGAAGCAGTGGTGCGGTGGGCAGGGTGGGCCATGGAAGACCTACAGAGGGCTGGAGCCACATCCCTCCCTCAGAGGACAACCTGGGTACAGTCAGAGCCCAGGGCAGCTCCATACCCAGCAAATGCCCCAGTGCCAGGGGTTGGTGGGGATCTATGGGTTGGAGCTTCAGATGCTGAGAACTGAAGGCACCTGGTTCAAGTGTCCTAAAGGAGGTGCCTGGTCAAGTCAGGCACCTATGAGCAGAACCCAGGTCTACCTGCTTCCTTAGAGACCCTTCTGAGAGGCCCCTTAATAGGCCGAAGATCCCTCCCTCCATCCCCAAAACCCCCAGATGCCAAAATCCTGGCCCTGACACACTGACATTCTCCCAGAGAGAGGCAGGAACTATTGCAAAGAAAAGCTCCTTCTGTTGGACCTTCCTGGCCTGGGGTCAGACAAGACTCAGAGGGTCAGGAAGGACCTCGGGCAGAAAGGGATAGGGCAGGTGCTCTGAGACTGGGGAGCAACCTGGTAGAGCCGAGGAGTTCTCACTATGTGCCAGGCATATGCTTCCGTGTCATCCTTACAAAACTCGTAAGGAAATAGACATTATAGCCACCATTGTGCAGTGGTGACATGATATGCCCCAGGTTACACAGCTAGTAAGTGTCAGAGCTGAGAATACATCAGGGTTTGAAGAGATCTTAAAGGTTCTCTTTGACTCAACCCCCTTCTTCTTTTTTTTGTGTTCATTTATTTTTGAGAGAGAGAGAGAGAGAGAGAGCGAGAGAGAGAGGATAGGGGCAGAGAGAGGGGAGACACAGAAACCGAAGCAGACTCTAGGCTCTGAGCTGTCAGCACAGAGCCCAATGCAGGGCTCGAACCCACAAACCGTGACATCATGACCTGAGCTGAAGTCGGACGCTTAACTGACTGAGCCACCCAGATGCCCCGACTGAAGCCCCTTCTGACACAGGAAACCACTTAAGAGTGTCGTACCAAGTGGTCTTCTAGATCTTGCTTGGATGTTTCCAGCAGCAGGATATTTATCAGCTATAGGTGCTGCCACGGCTTCCTAGGCTCATTCCACTGTCCTGGGGGTAAGCCCAGCTTCCATGGTCTTGCTGTCCCCCAAGTCTCCCTCCTGCCAACCCTACGAGGCCACAGTACCTCCAGGAACTGAGCGCTGACTTTGAACTCAGGCCCAGCCACACCCTGCTCCTGTGCCCGCCGTTTCCGCTCAGCAATGCCCCCAAAGAGGTGTGCGATGGCCCTCGGAATGATGCCTTGCTCCTCCTCCGATGTTGCCGTGTCGAAGCCAGTGCCCATAGTGTACGTCTTCCCGGCCCCTGTCTGCACCGGCAAAGATGGAAGGAGGTGTTAGACAGCACCCTCTGGGGGACATCAGCAAGCCCTGGACCCCAGGCCGGGCAGAATTCCTTACCATTCAACTCCCAGCCCGGGTCACCTGTCCCTCCTGGCCCCTCCCTCCTCCCTCAGCCACACCCTGTGGAAGTCTCCTCTGACAGCCTCCCTCCCATAGCTAGCCAGGCTGCAGCATCCTCAGACAACAGACAAAACCACGGCTCCACTGCCACTGCTCTGAGGGGGCAGGGCTCTCTCTTCCACCGAGTGGGGTGATGGGGGTCAGAGTGGCCCTTGGTGGGAGTGGAGGCGGCTTACCTGCCCATAGGCCAGCACTGTGGCATTGTAGCCCTCGAAACAGCCCTCGATGAGCTTGCTCACACAGGTCGAATAGATCTGTTCCTGCCAGGTGTCCAGGTCGAAGACAAAGTCATAGGTGAAGGCCTTGTCCTTCCCCAGAAGGACCTGGGGCTCCCCCGGGGTGACAGAAGTGCAGATGTGACAGCCCTCAATCTTCTCCTTTGACAGCTGGGGCCGAATCCTGCCGGGGACGGGGAGAGCCCCAGGTTGGACCCAGCTGGCAGGGGAGTGCTGTGGCCCCCCGCTCCCCCTCACCTGCCTGCCAAGCCTCCCCTTCCCCCAGACCCCCCCACAGCCCCCACAAACTGGAGGAGAAGGAAGGAAGCTTAGGAGCCTCCCCAGAGGATGGAGGCAACTTTTGTAATAATATCACAATAGTAATAATAATATCAATATTCTATCAAATATAATATCAATATCAATAAAAATATCACCCAAACATTTATTGAGCAGTTGCTAATACTTATTGAGCACTGTATATATTGGATCTGTGTTAAAAGTATTTTACCTAAATGAGTTTATGTCTTCTTCACTATAAATCTGTGAGGTGTGTATCTGCCTGATTTTACAGATGTGAAAACTGAGGCCGAGGGACTTGAAGTGACTTGCCTAAGGTTGTCCAGTGGGATATGACAGAACCAAACCCACGTCCGACATTAAAGCACACACTCCTGATTGAGCGGAGAGCCCTAGAATTAGTGTCCCGCAGATCAGGAAGAGAAGACAGCTTGCCCCCTGCTGGGGAGGTAAGGCTCAGCACCTGGGTGGGGACCGGAGGGACAGGCCTGGCTGCTCCCCTCAGGACTGAATTAAAGAGCAAACCTGAGCCTCTGCCAAGGCCTGTAGGGGCTGCAACAGTCCCCCAGCTGCAGAGCCCCCTCTCAGATGCCAGAGCCTGGCGGAACATTCTTAGGCACCAGCTCTGGTTCCTCTCCAGGAGCCAAGGGGGACAGGCCAAACACAGCCCTGACAGAGCAGGCCAAGTCAAAAGTCCGCTGAGAAGGGCAGAGACCTCTAGAAGGGATACTAGGCCTGCCACAGGCCTGGATCCCAATCCCAGATCCTGCTGGGATCCCTTATAATGAGGAAGAAAAGTGGCACCAGGGCTGGGTGGGAGCCAGCCACAGATAGGGCTATCTCCATCCGGCCACCTCTTCTCCCTCTTCCAAGCAGCCATTGCCATGGCAAGGTCCCCATGGCAACCAAGTGTGAGTCAGTGAACATGCGCTGTAGGGACTGGCAGAAAAGCACTTCCCAAATGCCTAAAGTAAAAGGGGGGTGGGTTAGGCGCTGTCGCTCATGGGCTCACACAAGCCAGCCCTATCAGCCAGGCGCTTACAATGAGCTGCTTGTCAGGCTCCCTTTTCCAAAGCCAACATTTACCAAGAGAAGAAAAGAATGAACGGGCCAGGCCAGCATGCATCCAGGGCCCAGGCAGGGGCGCCTAGCCACAGAGCCAGGGCCACCAAGTCGCCATCCTGTCCCTTCTAGGGCTGCCCCGGCCCCCAAGGCCCACTCAGAGCTGCAGGCCAGGGGAGATGCTCCCGTCAGCCTGTTGCCTGCACTTTGCTGCTAGAGGGTCAAAAGGCACTGGGAGGAGGCAGGGTAGCTCCCTGGGGGAGGGTTTGGGGAAGTTAGCTACACCAGGCCCAGTCCACACCACAGATGGTGGCCTGGGTTTTCTTCAGAAGTGTTTTCCCTTAGGCGTCAACAGGTTCTCATAGGCCAGCGGCTCGGCTCTCCCCTCGCCGAGGTGAGGCTGCCGGCAATGGGAGGTTACCACCTTCGTCCCCCCTATCCAGCTGTTCCAGGTCAAGTCGAAATTAGAACTCAGCTTCCCAGTCTCCCCACTGAACTGTTTTCTGACTGAGAAGGGAGCAGCTGATACTCGCTCATCCTGTCTAGACGTGCAGACTAGCACTTGACCCACACCAGGAGGAGGACTGGGCCAGCGATTCTACCTCGACCACTAAGGGTGGCACTTGACACACGCATTCACACTCACTCTATGCCAGGGGGTGTCTAAGCATATGGACATTTACTACCTCTTGATCCTCAAGAGAACATCCGAGGTGAATACCGCCATCCCCATTTGTAGAGGAGGAAACGACATGATGCCCGGCTAGTCACAGACAGCGAGCAGCAGAGTGGGGGTTCGAACCATGGGTGTGCTCGGCCTCTTCAACACTTCCGTGCTGCGGTGTCAGTAAGGGCATGGCTCAGCGGGCCGGGGTGGGGGAAGAGTGGCTCAGATACACAGGGAGACAGATAGCACCTCCAGAGGAGGGGAGTGCCACTGCTCACAAGGCACCAGGTAGGTACCTGGGACTCTGGCCCTCAGACCTGGCTCTGCCCCTGGGCCCGTGGGACCCAGGGCCAAACACTTACTGCCCAGGGCGTCCAGATGTTCCCAGGTGAGCCCAGGGGCTGGCCTGGGAAGGCTCCGAGGAGTTTCTAGCATTGCTGGCAAGCACTAACTCCGGAAGACACCCTCCCTACCATGTGGGCTGCTTGTGATAGGATTTCTGGATCCAATTCAAATACCATTTAATTACTCCAGGCAGATGGCACTGCTGATGATTGGAGGAAATCGAATCAGGATCCCTGGAGACAGTGAGAGCAGGGGAGGGGGAGCAGCAGCCCTGCCTGTCAGGGCCCATCAGTGTGGGGGGGAGGGGCAGTTTCTCCTTCAACGACCACTCCCCAGAACACTGGGGAGCCCACCTGCCAAGAACAAGAGAGCTAGCAGAAGAGCAGTCTGGGAAAGAGGATGTCGAAGAGGGGTTCCAGAATTTGGGGTCCAGGAATTGTGGAGTCAGGCATTCCCCTTGGGGTCTTTATCCTGGGATGTGAGGCCCAGCACATCTTGATGTGGGGGTCCTCTGAGGTCGACACCAGCCAGCCCCAGGGTGGCTCCCTGTAGGCACCAGGGTGCTTTGCAGGGTGCAGATGGTGAGCAATGTTACTCAGAGAAAAGGGTACAAGCTGGGGGACAGAGGACATGGGCTCAGAAAGAGTCACTAACTCCCAAAGCAACTGACCCGGAAGAGGGAGACAGTGTTGGTCCTAGGAATGGGACTTGAATGGGTAGCTAGAGGTGGAAGCAAAAGAGAATTAAGATTTTATATATGCTAGCTGGGCCAGGCACCCGCCACAGACTAGCTCATTTGAGTGATGCAATGAGCTAAGGATTTCAATGTCCATTTTCCAGAGAGGAAAGTTGAGGCTTGCAGTGGTTAGGTCACACACAGAGTAAATACAGTGAAGTTGGGTACCAATTCCTGCTCTGCTTGACTATGAAGCCTGCAGTCTGTTCTGCTTCTCCAGCTACCTCCTGCCCGGGGAAACTCTCAATCCCCAAATCAATAGATAAGCTTCCTCCCACAGCACCACCATTAGAGACAGGGAGGCGCTCTGGAAGGAATCCTGCTACATCTGTCTGCTCATGCATGACCCTGGCCAGGCACCAGGCTGGCCCTGCCTTCAGGGCTTGCAATCCAGCAGGGGCAGACATTGTGTCTCAGCTGTCTGGGGGTTCACTCCTCACCACCCAGTGTAGCATTTAAACCTACATCCCACAGGTAGGAGACCAGAGGGCTGGGAGATAGAGTCCGAGGTCCTTGACAAGGCTTGGCCCCCACTCTCTTCTTATTCGTGAGCGCCTGCTTCCTCCTGTGTCACCTAGAAGATCTCTTCCCAGTTTTAACTTTCTAGGGACTCCATCACCTTCCCCTCCAGCAGCCTCCCCTCCTGGCCCCACCCTGGGTGAGGTCACTTCTATGGGCTGCCCTTAGCCAACTCCACCCTGCCCTGCCCGGAGGCTTTCTAGTTACTGCAGGGTGGAAGGGATAGGAGTCAGGCACAGCCCTGTTCCTCCTGGCGGGCATGGGAGGGGGGATCGGGGATGGAAACCAATTTCTAGGGTCTTCCAAGTAAACTACAGACTCCAGGAGCTGTGGACCAGATCCAGGACTAGGATGAGGTGAGTGAGGTATTCGCCACAAGTGCAAAAGTTAAGGGGGTATGAAAAAACTCAGTAATCAAGATAAACTATAATTTAATGCAATCTTTGAGAAACTCCAATCGGCAGACAATGGCCCGCGGGGCCAGCCCTGCGTTTGTGGACCACACATCCAATGTCATTTCTGTCCGGGGACCACTAGAAGCGCACCCAGGGAGCCCCTCACCCCAGGCCCTACCCCTACAAAGCCTCGCTCCATCGCTTCTCAAGGTCCGGGCAGGGAGGGAAGGGGGCGGGCCGGACAGCCCCGCGCAGAAAGGCTCCCGGAACCTCCCGGAACAGAGCCGGGTCTATTCGCCGCTTGGCAACCCGCAGACCGAGCGGCGGTGGGAGCGGGCGCGAGAGCGAAGAGAAAGGGCCCAGGGCTTTTCAGAGGCAGGATCTGGCACGGGCGCGTGGCCGCTGGGCTTCCTCTGCTCACAATTGAGCAGGGACTGGTGTGATGTGGGCGGGTATTTTAATATCCTTCCCCCACCGCCGGAGAGATGTGCACCGGCCGAGGGACGCGCAGGCGGCTCGGGGTCGGCCCCCCACCCGTCGGTGCCCACGGCGGCGGCGGCGGGACAAAGGCCGCGAACCCGAGCCCGGCGCTGCGGGAAGAGCTGAGGTCAGCGGTTCCTCAGCTCTTTGGGAAGCCTGGAGGACGGGGCGGAAGGGGAGGACAGAGGAGACGGGGGGAGGCAGGCCCCGGGCGGGGGGGGGGGGGGGGGGGGGGTGCTGAGAGACCGCCAAGGAGAAAAGCTCCCTCGGCGAAGGGTAGCTTGCCCGGAGCCCCCACACCCTGCCCCGTGGCTTAGGAGGGGGAGGATGAGGCTAGCTCCCCTCGCCCCCCGCCCCCTTCCTCAGTGACATCACACAGAGCCAGCCAATTACCCCCAGGGGCTCCGCCCAGTGACCTTGGGCTCCTAAGGGTTGGCTCCGCATCTCAGGTGAAATTAGTCCCACCCCATCAGCTGGCTAGGGCCCTTCCCTGGGCTCTTAACTTGAATTGCCCCCCAGTTAGGAGCTCAGTCCCCGGAGCTCTTAAGGGTGCTTTCTATTTGAAGAGTCTCGTCACTGAGAGGTAACAGCCTGTGATATTAAAATAACTAATCAAGAACTAACTGTTCCAGAGTGCTAGAAAATTCTTGCAATTGTGGTGTATGGTCTGTGATTCCTGACGCCTTTCTTTGCTGGCACCTGGAACCCCTTTACATCGCCGCTTACTCAACTCCTCCAGTTAGTAACAACCACCATACTATGGGGCAAGACTGCCTCTTTGCTGGACACTGTACCCACAATGCTTTTGCACATTAGATCATTCTTCATTCTAATGCCCCTAATTTACAAATGAGACTTCAGAGGAAATTAACTGGGCTCAAGGTCACATAGCTGATAAAGAACAAGCTCTTCTAGGAAGACTACCTTTACTAGCCATCAGCCCCAAAGATTCAGTCCAGGAGGAGAGCTGGAGAGTACTAGTATGTTAGCAGCTATGCTTGTGAGTAATTTGCACTCTGGGGACTTCCAGGCTGGGAGACACCCTCCCGCCAGGCTCTGCCTCAAACGCTTGGAGAAGAACCAGGGTCTTGGACTGGAATCACCCCTCAGATGGCTGACATAACCAGCGTAAGTATTCCCTCTGGAAGAGACCCCAGGGGGAATAAGCCTATCTGCTTTTATCTTCTATAGGACCCTTAATGGCGTTCTGGAATCCTGAAAAGCAGCCCCCAGAGGCTAGTGGAACAGCCCGGGGAGAAATGCAGAATGAGGAAGTTCATCGCCTGGTCTCTAGGTGTGCTGCCCTCAAGCCTGAGACTGGGCAGATGCCACGACCTCCCTTCTGCCCAGCCCCAAGCGGTCTGCCTGGCTCCAACCACAGGGCAGCACGGGTAAACTGGAAGTGAGCTGTTGTGTGCAAGTGTGGGTGGGGGGCAGGGAGCACAGAGAAGAGCACTGGGACTCCTAGTCTGCCTGGCACACCGAGTCACTTAGCCATGCTGTGACCTGCCGGGGACCAGCTCTTCTTCAGCAGTGACAGAGCCAGATCAAAGGGGACCTCAGCTACAGCAGGAGGGATTTAGATAAGCTAGCAAAAAGAACTTCCTGCCTGCAAAGATTGTTAAGCCCTGGAAAGGGGAGCCTGGGAGTCTGTGGAATCTTTTTGCTCCGAAATCATAGTCACTGGTATCACTGTGGCTTCTTCCGTCCCGTGTCTGATAAGGACAAACAAACCCTAACATTTTTTGAGAACCTATGTGTCAAGCTCATCTACATACATGAACACACGTAATGTGTTAGGACCACCCTGTGAAGCAAGGGCCATTCCCCCCCCCCCCCCCATTTTACTGAGGCTCAGAAGGTGAAATTTCACAAGCCCAAAGTCACACAATTCATAATGGTGGAAATGAAATTCAAACCAAAGCTGACTCTGCCCAATCCCACTGCATCTACTGAGCAACCCGGCACCAGGGCAGGAGAGAGGTCGGACTGGAGAAAAATGATCCCCTCCGAGAATCTCCGGACTGATCCTACCAACAGCTGCCAGCAGCACCACGAGCAGTCTGTTGGGAAAGCATTTTTCCCCGTTTTGTAGTTAAGAAAGCCGAAGCCTAGAGCATGGAGAAGCACGGAGACAAGAGCCCAGGAGGCTGCTTCCCTGCCAGAGGAAGGCAGCTCCCCTCTGCAGCAGAAACAGGGCGTCTACACCCCCACTCTAATGAGCATCCTCTCCCCCCTCCTCCCCGTGGCAGCCTGCCAGCTCTGGGGAAGGCGGCTGGAAGCAAAATCCTGCTCTCTCAGGGGAGTCTGGCTCCCAGACACCCGGGGGCTTTTAGCTGACTTAGCCCGGAGAAGGCGTCTTCCCCTAGAGGCCACTCCTCTCCAAAATAGGGTGGTGAGACCCAATTTAGGGTGCTGGCTCTTGTAGCTGCAGGGATACCGAGTGGGGGGCCACCAGAGCCCTGCGACTGCCAGAGGGTCTCGTCGCCCTGTCACTGGACCTTCTCCTGGCCTCTCAGACCCTCCCCCAGCACTGCCTGAGACTGCCCTCAGGGAGAAGACACGGAACCCCTAAACAAGAAGGCTTTGTACTGTGGGGTCTGAAAGCATGGGTTTATGAGGCCCTAGCAGATCTGGTGAAATGGGCCTGTCAACCCTCTGTGCTTGACCTCTGCCCCCAAATATGTTCCCAAGTGCACAGGGAGAGGGTGCCGACACTCCAAGAAAACCTATAGGAAGCCTTGGGGTGTCAATTCAGGGCACCTGGGGTTCAGCCTCCACTCCTTCCTCACATGTCCTTGACCTTTCTCTTTTAGTTCATCCAAGTCCTGGCCACTGGCTTCTGAGTAACAACCAGGGGCAGGCAGTCTGACAGGGGAGGGAACCTGGGGAGTCTTGTTCATGACCCCCAGGGCATCACAATCTCAGCCGTGCCCCAGCAGAAGCGGGGTGAGGTGTCAGAGGCTGGGGAGCGGAGATGCCAGGAGAAGCTGAGGGAGGGGGCCGGGCCCTGTCCTGAGTTGGAAAGATGAACAGGCTGGGCCGTGAGCAGTGGCCAGGGCTTCCTGCCAGGGGCCAGGTCTGCCCCCACCCCCTGCAGGGGCCCGGGAAGAGGGGTGAGCGCAGCGCAGGGAACATCTGCTCTTCTGTGCTCCAGCATGGCTCTCCCTGTCCACTCCCTTCTCAGGGCATCTGGCAGAGGTTTCCCATGACCTCCCAGGAGACAGGAGACTCTGCAGAGTGGGGCTGAGTGGGGAGTGCCCAGAGCCCAGAGCTGTGATGGCATGTGCATCACATGGAGGACAGCTCAGTGTGAACTGGGCCCTGGGGACCCTCCCCTGCTGAGGAATGCGGAGTGACAGGCGGCTGGCCTCCTCCGAGCAGCTGGCTATGGAGCACAGTGAGCCTCTCCCCCAGCATGTTGTCCCTGGTCCTCGGTCCTCAGCCCTCAGTCCCTGCTGCCAGGCCCTCCTCAGTGCACCTTAACTCCAGTTTCAGGCAGGACCAGCCAGCCTAGAGAAAGGACAGGTGGCCTCCACCACTGCTCCGATGGTGGGCTTCTACCCAGCAAGGTAGAGGGATAGGGACTCAGATATTTGGGGACAGGGGACCATGGCACTGCCTCCCTTCCACAGCCCAGAACAGCCAGAGGTGAAAGAAGTATTCCAGAGGTCAGAACACGGCTACCAGCCGTGCTGTCACCTGCCGTGGGGGCTTCACAGCCCCTCCCACAGAGCTCCACAGCCCCCACGCCCATAGGGATGGAGCGGTAATTCTCTGGGACCAATGTCCACCAGTCCCAGCCTGGCTCCCCTCCCAGGGCAGGGAAGCATCCTCTCCTACCCAGCCTAGCAGCCTCTCAGTGTCCCTCTGGCTTTCCTCAACAGGCCGTATGTCTAGAAGGCAAAATGAGAGAAGAGACCCAAGATACCTGAGGTTCTGCCCTGTGACTGGTGTGGGGGTGTATAGGGGTAGCAAGAGGCAATGTGGCTGCCCCCAGAACTTCCTTTCCTAGAGAGTGTCAAGATGGAACTCAGGAAGGAAAACAAATTCTAGGGACCGCTGCAGGGATCTAAGGAAAGAGAGAATGGATGGACGCATACCCAGCAGGAAGGGAGAACCTCCCCAAACACACCAACAGCATGGACATGGAGGGAGTAAACAGCTAGGACATGGAGGGGACAGGCAGCCCCAGGCTAAGCAACCCCAGAAAGGGAAATCCAGACCATGTCCCCTTGGTGGACATCTGCATAGTACCAAATGCCTTCCTAGGTGCTTTTCTCGCATTGTGGTTATGGCAATCGGCGCGGAATGGCGTATGAAGAAATTGAGGCAAAGAGCTAATTAGAGCTGTGTTGGGAGGCAGCTTAGAGCAGTCTAAGGAGCATGTGCTTGGAAGTGAAGGTGCCCTGGGTTCAGATCCAGACTCCTCCATTCACTGGCTATGAGCGTTCGCTCATCTATAAGATGAGAAAAACATCAGTCAGCTGGTGGGGCTCCAGGTGGGGAGAGTGGGAAAATGTAGGCACACTGCCTGGCACAGGGCATGTGTTCAAGAGGTACTGCTTAGCCACCTTCCAGTTCAGTCTCCTTTCCACCTTGGCATGCTTTCTGCTATAAATAAGTGGAAGGAAGGAGGAAGGAGAGGGAGGGAGGGAGGGAGGGAGGGAGGGAGGAAGGAAGGAAGGAAGGAAGGAAGGAAGGAAGGAAGGAAGGAAGGAAGGGGAGGGAGGAAGGAAGGAAGGAAGGAAGGAAGGAAGGAAGGGGAGGGAGGGAGAGAGAGGGAGGGGGAGGAGGTTCGAGGCGAACTCTTCATTGTACCTAACACTCTCTGTAGCTCAAACCAGACACCTCGTAAGTATGCTTTAAGTTAAAACTTATTTTCAAAACATTTTATTCACATAAATAATTCCTCAGGAGTCCACCCTTTATGGGCTATATGCCTTCTGCTTCATCCAAACCACTGCTCTTCACAAATGAACAAATTGTTCCTGTTCTACAGTGGGTGAAACCGAAGCCCAGAAGGACAAACAGAAAAAAAGCCCCCATGACCCAGCCAATGGGTGAACTGCACTGGCCCCAGTCCTGCCTTTTGCCCCCAGAACTGGAAGGGTAAGGGTGCCAGGCTCATGTCACCTCTGCCACTTCCTTAGCCCCTGCCCCACCCCATCTTTGCTCTGAGGTTTTCAAAAGCTGAGATCCAATCAGCTTCAAGGTAGTCAGGCAGGCTGGCTGGGTGGTGGAGGGGGTCGGTTTCCGGGGCCTGTGGTTACTACACTCTACTTCCTTGTGATGACATAAGCCCTATTTCTGCAGCAGGAGGCCACCACTAAGATTCTCAGGTCTCCATGCAGAGGAGGTCCTGTCTGAGCCTGGGTTCCCCAGATCTATAACCTGGGCAGCATGGGACACAGCTGGCATTGATTGGCACTGAACGGCCTTGGGCTGTCAGAGTGGAGAAGGGGGACTCTGAAGGCACCCTCACATAGTCTTTTCGTTCTTCTCTGGTCTCTTTGTCCCAAGCCATCAATTCTTGTGATTCAACATTTAAACAGACATTGACCAAGATTTCAGGGCAGCCTGAAGCTACAGGAATAACGACAGGTAGAGAACCCAAATGAGAGAGGACAGAGGTGCAATCTAACACTATTCCCTGGGTCCCTGGCTCGTGCCCCCCTCCCCCATCTGCCTCCAGCCCCTGCTCAACCCTGTAGTTTCCATGGATGGATGTAGGACCCATAGAGTCACCTCCTCTCCCCAGTCACTAAAGGAAGGAAGCTAAAGGAAACCAGGAAAAGATAACAGGGGCACTGAGGGCTCCCCTCATGGTGGGGCTTGAAAGGGTCTTAAACAAACGTACCATGTGACTTGGCTTCCTTCCCCAATTTCAACTTTGTCAACTTGCATTTCTTAACAGCCACCCCTTCCCCTTCTCCCCACATTAGGTCTGGGTTGCAGCCTGGGGCAGGGCACAGCTCAGCCTCACCTCTCCCAAACATCCATCCTCCCAACCCCCACCCATCCCCAGGTAGAGAGAGGCCCAGGAAGCTGAGTCCTTGTCTACAGGGGATTAATGGATAAAAGGATCACAGGGCAGGCTGGAGGGGCTGGCCTGGGAATCGCTTGGTGCAAAGGCAACTAGCCTGGGTTCAGGGGCACACAGATGGGCCAGACTCTGGGGAGGCCTGGGGTAGGGCTTATAGGGTCTGCTCACACCTAGACCTTCTGCCCTTATCTCACAGCCCCAGGTCCTGAAAGTTTCTACCTATAGCCCTTCCCCAGCCCTGGCCTGCCCTGCAGAGATCTGCAGACAGCCAGCTTTGATCCTCTTGCCAAGGAGATTATAGGGCCAAGAGCCCTGGGCCTGGCACTTCTCACCTAGTCTAAAAGGCCCCGCCAGAACCTCCCCCCTTGCCCACGCACGTGTGTGCACACACGTGCGCACATTCATGTGCGCGCGCGCGCGCACACACACACACACACACACACACCCCAAACCAAGTCTGTCTCATTCTTGGCATCCCTGTCCCAAGAGTTGGACCCAGGGCTCACCATAATATTCTCATGGGGACTCAGAAAGCACTTTGGTTAGATACAAGAAAGGACTTCCAGGAAGTCAGAAAGACAGCAGAACACAGCACCAGGCTGGGCCCTCAGCAGTTCCAAAGCCTTGGCCTTTCGCAGCATGCCCTCCTCCAATACTCTACTCCAGCCCACCACCCAGTCCTTTAGGTGGGACAAGTGGCTTCTAGAGGTGGGGATGGGAGCTTGACGGGGATCCAAAAGTGTGGGGGACTCTCCCCTACAGCTCCTCAGTGGTTACCATCTGCTCCCTGTCTCGGCCGGAGCCCTAGTCTGGTCCTCCCCTCAGCTCTGATTAGAAACTGGGTTCTGTCCAGGCATTGTCTGCCTTCCACGGCCGGCTGCCCATTGAGGTCTGGCGTGTGCCAGGCTGGGCGCTCACACTGGAGTGGGAGGGGAGAAGTGGACTGAGCCCCCTAAATTAGCCTGGCTCTTCTGATGTTCAAATCTCCCCACCCCTCCATCTGAGATCAGCAACTCGAGGCAAGGAGTGGGGGCCTCTGGACACTACTAGAGCAATCTGAGTGGGAAGCAGAGATGATGTCCATCACCCTAAATAAAGAACTGGGTGCAGCGGGCAGGCACACTCCCTTCTCTGGAAAGGGTCTCAGAAACCTTCCGTTGGCTGTGCTAAGAAGGCAACCCCAGCTCTTCCTCTCTCCACTGCACAAAGTGCCAATCACACACTTCACCATTCCTCAGTCTGGCCGGGGGAGGCTGACAGTGGTGGCGGTACAAGGGGCTTTGTTTGGCCCTCTCCTATAAGATGAAGTCTAAAGGAAAGCCCCCATGGGAGGAGCGAGCACCCTACGTCCCTTCCTTCCCAGCCCTGGTTCACAGTGAGTGGGGTCAGGGCTTCATTTCCCTTTTATGATGTACTTGGACTCTCCCCGTCTGCTGCAGATGTCATATTTACATTTCTCACTCCCCCCCCCCCACCTTCCTCCCTCCCTCCCTCGACCTCCACAGGATCCTGCTGCAATGTCAGCCCCAGCAGCAGCCAGGCCCCGCCCCGGCCAGCCCACCAGGCACCTGCAGGGCTCCTCTTTGTCTCTCAGGCTGCTCAGGGCCAGCAAGGCTGTGTTCAAGTGATGCTGAGGCTGCCTGATGCACGGGTGGGAGGTACCTCAATCTCCCTTCCTTGATCCCAGAGCCGAGATCAGCAGTCCACTCCTCCTCTCTGGGCTGCAGAGGACTGGCCGGATTGCCTGGGGGGCATCTTCCCGGGGGGGGGGGGCGGGGGAAGGAGGGGAAAGCTTTTCCATAGTCCTCTCTGGCCCTGTCTAGAGTGACTTCCATGGGCTCTTGGAATCTGGGTCACCTACAACCTAGGGAATCTAGAGATCGGTCTCAGAGACCCACCCTACAGACTTAGCCTCCATACCCCCACCCCCATCACACAGAGCTGGGGCAGAGATGGGTGTATTTCTCCACCATCTCTGCCTTGGTGACCAGTCCCAGATTGGCACTCTCCCACCAACAGACCCCCTCTCAAAGAGAAAGACGTAAAACAAAAACAGGGAGGGGTGGTGTTGGTGCAAAGCATCTCTACCCAACACAAAAGACACAGATGGCTCAACTTTGCAGTATTCCCTGCCTTGCACCTCTGTGTACCCCTCCCAACAGAAGCTCCCCCCCCCCCCCCCCAGCCATGTCTTCTCCACACCTCAGTTCTGTCAGGATGTCTCGTCAAGTCCCAGATTAAGTCCATGCACCACCCTACCTCCATTTTATCTGAGTGCCTGAAGATGGGGTATCATTGTCTCACCCTCCTGCCCTCTCAGAGGTAGAACCTCAGATACACCTCTTCCTTCTCCTAGCCCCATCAGCTCTTGGGGACAGGGCCAGCACGTTTTGTCCAAAAGCCCTTGACCCCCCACGGAAGGCCAAGGCACCATCCCAGCCCTTCCATTCGTTCCTGCACTCAGTCGATCTTTGTCTGCAAGCCGGTTCCCGGGGCCGGGTGTGCTGCCTTCTCAGCTGGACCAAGGGCACAGAAGTAGCCTACTAGGGTGGATGAAGGGAAATTTCCCCCCTCCAGTATCCCAGTATGAGACAGCAGCCCCAAGGGGAGGCGAAGAGGAAACACACAGACGCTCCGGCCTGGGCCAGGGCTGGGTGTGAAATACCGGATTTCCTTGTTTATTCGATTTTCTGATCATTAAGGGCTCCCAAGAGGGGCCCGAAATTACCACCCAAACAAAGCCACCTTCCAGCCTCCCGCGGGCCGCCGATTCCCTGCGGCAGCCTGTCCAGCTCCCCGCGCCCTCCAGCTCGGCTCAGGCCGACCCCTCCTCCGGCAGTGCGGGCTCCGAATCCAGTGGCGCCCACGCGAGACAAAGCCCAAGCCCCTCCGCGCACGCCCCCTCCCCCCCACCCGCCCACCCCGCCGCCGGTCCCTACCTGACGGCCACCTTGACGCAGCAGTCCCCCTGGCCGGCCATGGTCCTCTGGCTCTAGGGTCTGGGCGTGGATCAGGGGCGGGGGTCTGGGGGCCAATGCCCCAGGCAGCGGCTGCGGCTGCGGCTGCGGGAGGCGGGGGCGCGGGCACGGCTGGAGGAGTCTGCCGCGGCGGCTGGAGGTGACATGCTCGCGGGCGGCAAGCAGAGGGGCTCACCCGCGGCCAGGGGTGGCCCCACGGGGCTGGGCCCGCGCGCCTCCTCGCGCCATCGGGCGACGGCGCGCAGCTAGCTGACAGCCCGCGGCGCGACCCGCCGCTCCCCACGGCGCGGCACACGCGCGCACACACCTCCCACCCTCGCAGCCACCTCCCGCCGCAGCGCGAACAAAGGGGGCGGGGGCCGGCCCGGCCCAGGACCCGCCCCCGAGCCCCGCCGAGCCTGCACTGGGCCCCGCCCCGCCCCTCATTCACCAATCCAAGGCCCGGGCAACGGCAGGGGCGGGACTTGAGCCTTTAAAGGGACCTCTTGGCTCGCGTCCACCCGCTCGCTGGGGGGCGGGCGGGATTGGAGGGCTGGGGAGGAGGAGGGCCCAGAAGCTGACCACGCCGGAGCCTCTGGCCCCCCAGCCGCCCGAGTGGCAGAATCTCAGCTTAGATGGGACCCCGGTTTCATAAATGAGGAAACTGGAACGCAAAGAGGGGAACTACCCAAGGTCACTCAGATTTGGTGGCTAAGCAAGGGGTAAGAACCCAGGTCTCCGGAGCAGAGTGCTTCACTTCAAAGCATCCCACAGCGATTAGCGGTTTATATTTTGAAAGCACCAGGAAAGCTTCCCTTCTGATTTATGACAGTGAATGTGTCAACCTTTACTGAACGAGATTCTTGCTGGTGACTAACAAAATTCCCTTCACCTCCATCCTGCAGCATTTTAAAGTTCATCTTTTGGTTGATTCCTGGCTAGGCTCCTCGCCCAGATGGGCCCCTCCCTCTGCTAGACCGAAGTGGTTCCACTGACCTTTATGACCCACAGATGACCCGCTGAGCTTGCCTCACACTCTTTTGTGGCCGTGGGGGCAGAGGGTCGGCGTGGGAGGCCTGGGCTGCACTGGGAGAGAAGGCAACAAAGGGGGCACTCAACTCCAGGCACCTGGGTAGAGGCTGGAGGGGACAGGTGGGTGCGGAAGGAGACAGAGCAGTGCAGCTGCCTTTACATGGATATAAAGGACAAGGGGAGCCCCGGAGACTTTAAACATAGGGGAGAGATGGAGAAGAGCAATGCCCTGAGAAGTCACAATTCTCTTTCCACTCTACCTACCCTCCCATTGAGCCCAGACTCCCTCTCCCTGCCCCCCAACTCCCAACATGGGGGCCATTCCCAGGGCCCTCCCCAGCTGCCCTCCCTTCCCACACTTCAACCAGCTCCCTCCCCTGGAAAGAGCCCAAGAGGAGGACCCAGCTGCAGCTCCAGATGTGGATGATACTCTCTGGGGGAAGGGGGGAAGGGGAGTCAGACGCCAAGCCTCTTGCATCACCCTCCAATGATGATGAAACTATGCCAGAGATTTTGGCAAGGGTGTGGGTTAGGGTCTGAGGATGTATCTGTTGGTACCATCCTCTCTCCCTTCCCTCCCCCACTCACCCCCACAGATAACTGCTCCGTCCAGTAGTCCAGATCACTCTGGTTTTAATGAGTCAAACCCAAACAATGATAATTTCAAGGGCAAATTTCAAGGGCAAATCAACACCCCTCCCCCCAACCTGATTCAAAACAGGGCACCACCAGCAGTGGCCCAACGGTGGAGGAGGAGAGGGAGGGGATGCTGGTGGGATCCTGCACCTTTTATTAGCATTTGAACCTAGAGGAAGCTCTCTCTGGGCCAGTAGGTCACCCCTTCCCGAGCAGTAGGCCTGCAGAGTGTTGAGTCAGATCCTGGACATTCTCTCCCCATCTTCCAACCAAAATAAGAGATGGGGAGGTGGCTAACAATTATGGACCATCCATGAGAACCAGGTATTTTTATGCATATTCTCATTTGAATCTCATAACATTGTGAGCTGGGCTTTAATATTCTCTTTCAGTTTTGCAGTTGGGGGAGAATGAGTCTCACCCAGCATATAAGCAATGGAGCCAGGATTTGAACTTATGCATCTTGTTCCAAACTCCCCAGATCACCTCCAAGCAAGTGCCCAGAGGGAAGGGAGCCGGCCTGATCCAGGCTTTTGCTGGAGATTTAGCCCTCCTGGATGATAATGCTGCAATTTGCAAAGCTGCTCTCCCGCCCACTAGACCCTGGACTTCTCTGGGGCTCATCTCTGGTTTCCTGCCTCCAGGAGGTCCCCTCTGACTTCCGAGATTAGGTGACCCTTCTGACTCACAGCTTTACTGCTGGGAAATGGCGCCAGAGCCGCTGCAAGCACCCTCCCCTTCCCTCCAGGCCAAAGGATGTCAAGCCAGGAGGAGCAGGGAGGCACATGCGCTGGAAACTCTGGCTTCCTAGAGGTCAGGGCCCCACATCAGCTGTGCCAGCCACCTCAGCAGCGCCAGCCACCTCAGCAGCTCCCTCCTGGACCACCAGGGCCATTAGATGTCCAGACTCTTGACTCCTGGGCACTGCTGCCCAGAGGTGAGCAGGGAAACCGGGCACAGAGGTCAGAGGGAGATCCAAGGGGCAGGAAGAGACGTGGGGAGATTTAGGTTAGATGGGTCAGAGGAGGCCGAGGACAATCCCTGCCCTCTCCAGTCTCTGTGTGCCTTCAGCACAGACTCTGCTTCCTCTCTCTGGCTTGTTCCCACCCCCACCCTTTCCCACCCCTTCTCCCTCCTCCCAGCTGCTCTTTCCTTCCCTAACCCTGAAGTTTCTCAAGGAGCTGCCTATATGCCTAGCCCTCCCAACCCCCACCCCTTTCCTCTCAGCCTGACAGAAATGGGCAAACACATATACACTACCTCCTGTTTGGTCCTTAATTCCGCTAATTGGACTGGAGTTTGAGCCCCAGCTCTTGTCCTAAGCTGAGGCCTTTCCCCGTCAGGCGTCTAGGGGCCTCCATCATTTCTCTTGACAGGAGCCGTGGGCGTCTGGGCAGATGGGAACGTGGGGGAGCTGTGGAGGACCCTCTCTGAGGCAGGAAGCTCCCACTCCTGTAGTTAAAATACTCCAGCAGCAACTTGAGGAAGCCATCTGGCCCAGATCTCTCAGGCACAGCCTAGCTTTCAATAGCAACCCTACGGTAACAAATCAATATACCTAAGAGATACCCTTCAGCTCCAGAAATGTCTCTAGAGGTGGTCTGAACCCGAGACCTGTTCCCTCTTATCTTCTTTAGGGTTAGCACTAGGCATTGGCATTTGAAGAAATGATCTGAGCATTGTCCTAAAAGTTCCGGGGGTGGAAAGTATAGAGTTCTGGACCTCCAGGCCTAACTGTCAGCCCCACCCCAGCAGCTGGGCTTGGTTCCATGGGACAATGGGCATTAGCCCGTCCTGCCAGCCATGCCCTCCCATGTCCACCTGGATATGGAGCCCAGCTCTGCCTGCCAACAAGAGCTCAGAACCCCTGAAAGGATCTACTTGGGTGCAGATTCAGAGGTCTTAGATCAGGCGCGGGCTCAGCCTGACTTCCTGTGTTACAGAAGGAGACAGACTTAGCCTTAGAGGAAACCAGAATTTGTTATAAATAGAAGGGAGGGAGAACTGCCGTGGATTATAAACACCCCATCAGTCCTAAAAAAAAAAAAAAAAAAAAAAAACAAAAACCAACTATTTTTGGTTTCAAATGTTAATGACAATTTAATGAATACTCTATATAACCTCAGACATGGCTCTTCATCCACTTTCTGCTCTGCCATGTTTCCTATCAGGGCCAAAAGCAGGAAGAGCAGGTGTGGGAAATTCTCAATGTCACAGAACCTTTGTGGAGTTGAAAAGAACGCTCAGATCATCGAGTTTTACAGTTTCATTTTCAGGTGAAGACACGGAAGCCCAGACGAGTAAAGAGACTCGTCGACAGTTGAACAATAAACTAGTGAGCAGGGACCAACAGTGTGGTCCTCATGGGTCCAGAGCAGGGCGGTTTCCGCAGCAGCATGGAAGGACCCAGAAGCTAAACATCCAAGACTGGGCCCTGTGTGAGTTTCTGGCTTGGATGAAAGTGAAGACTATACCAGATAACAAGAGACAGGTGGAAGCTGAAGTGTGGTGTTCCAAGTCAGAGATCTGGGTTGAGATTCCCACCCTGCCACGCGCTAGCTACGTAACCCTGGGCAAGTTATGTTAACTACCTCAGGCGTCCATTCCCTCACCTCCGAAAGAGGATAATCACATTCCCCTCATCGCAGGACCAGGATGAGGTTAAAGGCAGTAACCTGGGCCAAGCACCCAGTATAATGCTCAGCACAAAATAGTAATTTCCTTCACATTTCCCGTGGATTCTCTGTCCCTTCTGCGATGCGCCTCTGCCCTCTAACTGGACAGAAGGGCACATCTGTCATAAAGAAATCTGCAGGATAGGGAGTGTCTGTGGTGAGTGTGAATGAGGTGTGGACAAGGTGAGGAGGTTTGCGGGGCCCAAGTGCTCCTTGTTGATGCGGGAGGTGGGAGGAAACCAATTCGCAGAGTTATTCGGAGGCCTCTGCTGGCCACTCAGTGGTGGGGACCAGGGTGGGGGGGGGTGGTGGGCAGGGTGTGTTCACAGAGGCAGGAAGGGGCCTGGGGTATGCTGGATCCCTTCTGTGCACAAACACTCCTGGTCTCAGCCTCACTGGGGGTTATCTGGAGGGCATCTCAACTTTATTTCACTCACCCCATGTGTTACACTGTGCCAAGGACGCCACATAGGATTTCTCATTTCATCCTCACGACAATCGCTGAGGTAAACACGGTTATTGTCCCCATTTTGCAGAAGAGGAAATGGGCTCAGAGGTCACTCGGCTAGCGTAGCAGTCATTAGTGCTGTGCACCAAATATTTCCGGCTCTCCGCTGTCCGTCACAAGGCAGGACTGCGTGTCCTCTGATGTTAGCTGTGGCCACGTGACTGACTTTGACCAGTGACGTTTGGGCGGGACAGACACATTTCACTTCTAAGTGGAAGCTGTCTGAGCTACTGGCGCCCTCGCATTACATCACGTTGTTGATCGAGTTTACGTGAGAAATAAACTTTTATTGTGTCAGGCCACCGAAATTATGGGCGGATTTGTTACCTTGGCCTAGCCTAGCCTACCCTGGTTGAGATAGTGAAGGGGCAGAGCCAGAGTTCAGAGCCCTGGTCTGTAAAGATCCCAAAGGGCCCAAGTGCCTTCGAGGACT